AAAAGCCCACAAAGTCCGAAAAGTGCAAAAAAAAACCGAAAAGTCGAAAAGTCAAAAAGTCGAAAAGCCCAAAAAGTCCGAAAAGTGCCAGAAAACCCGAAAAGTCGAAAAGCCAAAAAAGTCCGAAAAGTGCAAGAAAATAAGTCGAAAACTTTTCGACTTTTTGACTTTTCGAATTTCGTTTCGGTTCTCCGCTTATGGAAACCAACGCCTGCTTGCGTACTTAGGAAGCCCAGGTCTCAAGTGACCACACGTCGGGAGACTTTTGACATGTCAGCTCGTGCTCCGAAATGTCCAAGCGGATCGGCAAAAAGCAGCCCTGCCTCGTACCTAGCAACACCTGACTAAACCCCAACCAGCCTGCCAAGCGTCACCTTAAACCTAGCACCTGTGCTCGCACTCGGACTCACACTCGGACTCGCACTCGGACTCGCACTCGGAATCACCAATGTATATACAGCGACGATGCCCATATGGGAACATCGCACGGCTTGCACTGTATAGGACGTCACAAACTGCAGGTACGTGAGGTTGATCAGACCTCATATCCTAGCATCTTGACTGGAGCTGCGTTGCACCAGCAGTCAAGTGCCCCTGGTGCCCCTGCGAAATTCTGAGAAAGGACGAGAAGACCCTTGGATACAGGGTTGCCACACACACACACACCCTTCCTCGCGCGAGCGCGCGTCTGCAAGTCACAGGTTTTAGAAGTCCACCAATTCATGCTTGGATGGCTCGGCTTTAGTGGAAGATCTGAGCTGCTGCACTCCGCCAAGTCATGTAACTTAGCCGCGGTCAACATAAACATGTAACATGAGACACGGTATGCACTATGCCACAATTTTCGCCCTGGAACATTCGCAAGTAATAGGGAATCTGCATGGCTAAGCGGAGGGCCCCAAGATTTCCAGTAGGGCGGCAACTCGTCAGCGTACACGTGAAGTGATATACTCGCATTATATACCCGAAAAAAGCTGGAGCGTACCGACAGTGTGGCCTGCTGGGATGCAACCTTAGGCGTATCCTGTCTCTCTGTCTGCGTCTGTCTCTGTATCTGTCTCCGTGTCGTGCATGCGTGCGGGCGGGCGGGCGGGCGGGCGAGCGGGCGTGCGAGCGTGCATGCGTGCCTGCATGCCTGCGTGCTTGCGTGTGTGCGGGCGCGCGCGTGTGCGGTGCGGGGCGGTGAGGTGCGCTGCGGTAAGGTGCGGTGCGGTCAACCCGAAGACTCACCGTAGACCAGATCCCTTGCCTTGGTGAGCGCCCTTCCGGGGATCGCCTGGACATCCAGAGATCCGATCTAGGACGCTGCAGGTCACAAGCCCGGAGAACCCACCACGACACGGCAGATCTCGAAAGGACAAGTAAGCTGAACCCGACCAATGCAAAACAATGGCAATTGGAAGACTCCGGAAGCCACACCGCAGGCTGGAGAGACCGACAACAGTCGACGTGGCTACCCACAGGATCACTAACTATCGACACTACATACACAGCTGTTCAGTTCGGAAAAATTACAACTCATCCACTAACAACTCGCCAGCGCAAGAGTTGGGCCTGGAGTGGGTGCCCTGCATTGTCGGCCTTGACGCAACGTAAGCTGGGCTGATAATGCTGAAAGTGCTTCGGCAAGCTCCGTGCGTTGAACGCGACCTCTGCCTCAGAACACATTGAGTGCAATACTGAGTCTACATTAGCTACCGTTCCACACTGGACTGACCAAGGCCGCCGCACCACCGGCACGCCTTTGGAAGCTTGGCGACTGACCTTCCGACTGGGATGCCAGGCTTCGGCTATGCTGCGTTATCACCAGTGTTGGCTTCCAATATGCAGCTTCTGTGCTAAGAGGCCTTGTGTGAGTAAGAACCTCAGACTCAAGTAAGTAGAGCCGCAGTTTTCGATCGAGGAGTCTGAACTTCCTAACCGACAGGCTGGTGCAGCGGCAAGGATTTCACACACTCGCGCGCGAAGACATGTCTGTCCTACACGTCAGACGCAGCGTTGGCTTGGCCCTGGCTGGCTGCTCCTTTGGAGATGCCGGCAACTCCTAACTACTCGACACGGAAATGCTGTGGGCAGGCGTTCTCACCACGATAATGGTGGGAAATGACGCCGTGTATTCGACGTCTGCAGTGTCCACAAAAGGAATTTCGGCACATGCCACATCGAATGTGGTTAAGATTGCCTACACGGCCATTCCATTGTCCACAGGATGGACAAGGGACGTCGCCCATGCGCCGTCTTGCTGCCACCGTTCCACGACCGCCGGTATTAGGTGCTTGTATGCCATGGGCTTGCTGAAACTGCGCAAACAACTCACGTTGTTCGCCAAACTCGGCTCGGAGACGCTGCAGTTCGTGGTCTACGAAGCCAGGCTGCCTTTCCTGAGCTGCTATTCTTCGCACCTCTTCATCATCGAAGGTTGTACATTTTCCTGTCTTGAAATGGGCATAGGGGTCCTCACTGTCCATTTGTGCACCGCAGCGATAGCAAAAGTGTGCACGGCACTGCGTACAGTGCATGTGATTACACCCGGCAGTACGGTGCACACGCACTTTGCAAACAGGACAAGGCTGTGACTCTTTGGCGATTTCTCGCAATGTCCTCGGTTCACGAAGCACAGCTTGAGACAGCTGCCCTGGCAAACCGAGGGTTCTCTCTCCCCGCCGTAAGTTCAACAGAGTTTGAATAGTGAACTCTTGCCACTCAAGTTGGACTTCAAATAAAACGGACAAAGCAAGCAAAAACAATAAACAATACAATCCAGCAGGGAGGCAGCAGCTCTTCCATCAGGCGGCGCTGGCGGTGCCGCTCCATCGCAGCATCAGCCCGTGTGCGAACCAAACGGATGCTGATCGGCCTTCAGAGTCAACTTTAGCACCGGCCGAGTTACAGGCGCCTACTCTCAGCTGTCACAACCCACCAACACATTCTGCTCCCTTTGCCTCGGGGATTCCATCAGGACAGTTGCTAAGTTACATATGTTGTCGAACTTGGCATCCCACAAAGCTCGGCCAGTGATTTTGTCTGGGACTCCAGTATGTACGGCGATAACCTTGTCGCCTTCTGCGACGTTCGGCTCGCAGTCCTCGGTGGTGTGGCCAGCTGCATCGATAGGCAGCATGTCTTCACCTACGTCGATACAGACCAGATATCCCTTCTGTGCCTCACGTTTGAGCTTTCGCTTTTCTGCCACACTCGTTGCAGTTCCGAGCCGACGCATTGCCACTTGTTGTGCCCTCTCCTCTGGTGCCAGACATGGCTCTGTCCCGTGGTACAAAGACAAGCACGTAGCACAGAAGACATACTCGCAACGGCCACATCTGGCCACGGGGGGAAGTGAAGCCAATTGATCTGAATCAGAGACCGGATCCGGCAACACTGGCGTTTCCATGCCCATCTCTTCACAGCGCGGACAGAGGACCAAATTAGCAGTTGTCAGAGCTCGTCGAAGCTTGAGGGTCTGCCACCTCTCATAGCCCGGCTCATCCAAGACTTGCATCAAAGCGCTGGGCGCGATCTCAGCTCGGCAGCCTGTCTCCGGACATACCAAGTCAGCAATGCTGCCTTCATTCACATGGATCTCTGCCATTGTTTTGACGCAAGTCTTGCAGAATGCATGGCTGCAACCGCCCAAGTGTACGAAATGAGAACCAGGATGCTCGCAGAAGCACACGTTACAGACGTGCTGCTGTTGACTCCAGATGTCCAACCTCTTCCCCTTATCGTACATGAGCAGATCCAACAAAGTCTGGACTGGGTCTGTGCAGTTGGACTCGGCCCGTGGATCAGAAGCGGGCAAGCCGTCAATAGCCTTCAGTGTCAGAAAAACCTTTCCCGCCAATGCTCCCCGATTCTTCAGGATGAGCTCCAGCACTTCCTGTCGCAAGACATCAACCCAGGTGTAGATGATCGCAGACCCTTTTGCTTGCTCCCATTGGTCATCCAAACTTCTACAGAACGCCGACAGGCTGTCTAAGTCCATCCAAGAGCAAGACAAGCGAAAGTCAGGCGGTTCAGAAGAGGGGTAACCGGCGGGCAGCTTCAGTTGAAGCTGGACAGGTGGCAAGTGTTGTACCTCAACTTCCGCAAAGCCACTGACAGATCGGTGGAGCCGTGGCTTCGCTGTCTCGCCTGGGACTACGTTGGCCGCCGGATCCTGGACCGGTAAAGCTGCTGCGCGAGACGCGTGAGACTGGATGTTATAACCTCTGCTCCCTTCCGTGTCATCTGAGGAATTGGGTTGATATGCAGCTCGTAGGAACAAAGGAGAGTCGCCAAGCTCACCCCGCAAATCTAGACTCACCAGCAGGGAGAGCTCAACCTGCCCTGCATCATCGCTGGTCAGCTCTATCTCCTCTGGAAAGATGGCTTGCAATGCTTCCACTTCATCCAGCTGCTCCGCATGGCAATCTGCTTGTGACATGCAATAATGGAGCTGGACTGGGCCCTGAAGTAAGAGCTGTGCTCAGCTAAAAGAAACCAAGGCGAAAGCACTCCCTCTCACTTTGCGCACCTGCTGCGCCTAGCCTGAAGACCATCGCCAGACTTACGATTACATGAACTGAAAACCTGCAACACGCTGGCTCGAAGACTTCGCAGCTGAAGCGGTCAAAATGGGAAAAGGATACGGTCACCGGTATCAACGACTACTTCAACAGCGGTGCCTGTGGGGAGCATGCTCTTGAGTTCTGCCCTTGCCGAGACCTGTGCGTCGTCTGCAACACGTCATCAATGACCCCAAAATGACCCGGCTCTGCATCAGCCTCTGGGCTTAGAACTGGGATCCTGCATTGGACTTGCGTTCCGGAGTGCTCCACCAACCTCAACTAGCACAGGCTTCCTGGGACATCTGACTGCAAGAAGCTGCCGAGGCAACAACGTCCCGAGACCTGAACAAAATCATCTAAAATACTGAGAACGCACCACGCACCAACGGCTGAGCCCCACGGCAGCAGAGCATCTTTGCCGGCTTGATTCAAAGACACTGCGCCTGACTATCAGGCTCCCCTCCACAAGGATTGCGCAAGTCAAAGCCAAGATTGAAAGACCGTTCATGTATTCGGTAGATGCTCTGTGGGAGCCAGACTTCTTCCCAGTTCCAGCATTCCGATAGCATATCTCCTCGCCAAAATAGTTTCTAAAACAACGCGTTGTCTGTCATGCACAAGGCCAGGCACGGACCTCATGCACAGGCAGTCTAGATTCCCGGAATCGCCGCCCACAGCAGCTGCATGTCCTGATTACGGCAGCTTTGGCACTGAAGAATTGTCGGACAGTGTATGCGTCTGCGAGCTGGGGCGGCTGCCGCAGAGCAACCTGGCAAATGCAAGCTGACACTGGCATTGAAGTCCAACAGCAGCAAAGCTTCGTCGAAGCCCTGTGCGGCATTTTACGATCCGATGTCACTTGCCTCACTCCCAGGAAACACACACCCATTTTATGGGTTGGCGTCAATACGTTGTGGCGGCAAGCATCTGGCTTTTCGGCTTGTGCCACAGCTGCTGGCTCAGCGTAACACAAGTAGTGGCAGCAGCACAGGACACATGATTCGAAGAACGCAATAGAAATTAGCATTTCAATGGACATTACCACCTTCGCCGAGATGCAGAAGCCTGCCATTAAAAATTAAGGCCAACGCATTAGTGATGAGAGTTCCACAGATCTCGACTTGGGACAACAGGGGACGTGCTGTAGCCAGTGGTGATCTGAAACACAGTGTGATTATCAGCTGCGGTTGCTAGCGTAGAGCTCTCGCTGTCGCACTGTCGCTCTCCGTTCCTTTGTTGGACTAGAAGTGGTTGCGGCCGACCCCCTCCAACCAGGGAGGTGCGCACCACCGGTGGCGGGGCAGAGCTGGCAGCTCAGAAGTGCATGACCAGTAAGGATTACGTGGTAATATTTAGACTCCGCAAGACTCAGCCACCCCGGAGTCCAGCTCAGGTCCCAAGTGCGCTTGCTAACAGGAAACCAGCCAAGCTACCAGGCTTCCCCAGCAAGCTAAGTGATCGAATCTTGCTTGCTGCCGCGATCTGTCTCTTTCTTTCCGCATGCCTGAGAGAGAGGGCGCTGTCCTCACTCCCCCCGGATATGGTACGTTTCTCGAGCTCTGCACCGCCTCCACTGAGCTCGTTTCTTTCTTCTGTCAGAGCTGGGGGATGGGGAGCTTGCTTGCTGCAGGCATAGTAGAGGGTAGCGAAGGGCCTATACGTCCTGCCTGTGTCTCTGTTCGCTTTGCGGTGTTCGGCACGAGGGGCTAGGACTAGGAGTCAAGTAGAAGCATCGGGTGCGAAGCCTGCTACCCCAGAACTCTTGCTACAACGAAGCCAGCAGGGCAAGCTTCTCAATGCTAAATCGACATTAAAGGAACTTGGACACCCTTGAAGACAGCTTCTAGCTGGGGCAGAGTATCCATGAGTTTGTACAACGCCGCTTCATGCTCCACCATTACCGGTGTCAGGTCATCTGCAAAAGTCGCGAGGGCCTTCGAATTTTGGGAAATAGCGATCATGTCTTTGTCTAGCTTGTTTTCAATGTCCACCTGATTCCGGAGACCTTGAACTGCAACGTCCACAGCCTTGCTCTCCTCCTTGCTCTCCTGCTTCGCGATGCACTTTGGCTCTTTCGTGATCAACTCATCCGCTTCAATGTCATCGAGGTCGTCCAAGGACTGACTTTGGTACCGCGATAAGCTTCGCACCTTTTCGCCACGTTCACAGCTCCTGCAAGGGATTCTTGAGGATAGTTTAGGGGGGGGGGGGAGGCAGCAACCTACGCTGTACGTTTCTCCAGCGCAACAGTACGAAAATAGTGGCGCGCTGATGGGTCCTCCTCAGCAAATCTAACAATTCTAACACCTCGTAACCGGCTCAACTCGCACTGGCAAGGCTGTTCGGCGAAGGCGAAGAAACTTGCAAGGTGCAGTGAGGTGACGACCCGCACGATCGATTTGTGGATGTAAGATAAGCGCGGCCATGTGGCGAGGCACGATATATCGATCTTCGCCAAAATTCCAATGCCTCTTAAAATGGCGGGATTCGAGATCACACCAACGTGCCCTGAGGAGTGGTTCAGAGATCGGTTAGACGGTCAAAGGACTGAGGACTGTTGGATAGACTGCGATTTTGGTCGAAAACGTGCACCGCACCAAAGCGGAGCCTGCGAACTGCGAAGCCGCTGGAAAAATAAAACAATCCCTTTGCACTGAACTTGTGGTCTCATCGTGTTACCAAGCATATTCGTGAACGGAACGATCAAAGTTGGAGCTGAAAGGTGGGGACATTGACATCCCTGAAATAGTTCTTCTTTCATGCTACTGCAAACAATCATGACGGCTTCGTGCTTCATGAAGGGTAATTAATGGAGATGCAAAAACACGATGCAAAATGTTTTCTCATGACATGTTGTGGCGAATATGCGTTTCCCGAATCCTGTTACTCAACCATGTCTTTCCCTTGCTCCGCGCATCCTCTACATCTGTGGCTGCCCTTCAAGTTGGGCTTTGGAACGATTTTGGAAGTTTTCGGACGCTTCGAGAGCCACTTCAACACTGCCGCCGCTCTCTACCCACGGCCTTCGGTGTCTGGCCCTCCGCCATGAAATGAGCGATAAAAGCAGGAAGGCTTGGATCCAGCTCGGAGTAAATTCTGATCGACAGACACTATTTGGGCACAAGAGGCGGCAAGGAACGTTTCTTCTGTTATTCAGAAATGACTATCAACCACCTTCAGAAAGCCTACCTTCCTCGCAGCTGACAGGACAGCAACATGTCATTTAAGTCGCTGAGGCTTCTGTGACCTGCACCTATCACTGACCTATCACTGAGACCTTGGACCTGCTAAGTGCATGATGCCCCGTTTGAAGCCACAGTCATGAGCTCGTCGATGCACTGTGTGGCATTGGCACGTGTCGAAGGTATATGATCAGAGCGCTCATGCAGGAGCAGCAACAGGCCCTGGTTCATCTCCCGCTGAAAGTGATGCAAAGGCAAATCGTTTTCATCTGTGCCAAAGGGCATCTCTAACTCAGATGCCACCAGGTTGAGCGCGATCATGCCGAAGATGGGTACGAAGGACACGGGCAGCGCCCAGTACAGCGAAGTTGTTATGGAGACAATGATGAAAGGCGTGTAAACGGTGTGGACTGCAAGAAGACAAGTGATCATCTGAGCCCAGGGAAACGGGAAACTGGTGTCCTTGATCTTGACAGCATTCAAAAGATTAACAAGACCTCTGGAGAGCGTTTGATAGACGCGAGACAGGATTGGTGGCGGTATGTCGAGCATGCCAGTGTGAATGTGGTGCGTGATCAGCACCTGGATCATGTGCTGCAGGGACAGGACTCGGTTCCATCCATATTTGTCCTGGCATGTGGCCACAAAGCGCAGCGTCTCATCGTCCAGCGAGCACTTGTCAATAGTAGGAAATCGGTCACGGCAGCCAGCGATCTCATCCAAGGCAGACTCGTGCATGTGGCTGACAAGCCGGACCAATGTTTGACGAAATTGAAGCACTTCGGCAGGTTTCGATTCGAGCGCCGACTGCGAGAAGGAAACTAAGCAACTGACAGAATCAAAATACTCGCCGCGCATCTGGTGAAGTAAACTTGTGCCTGGCAGGGAAGCATAACACGATCTGCGGAACCGGATTCTACTGGATTTGGAGCATACCGGCCTTCCCAAAAGCGTTCGAGGGCCTGTTGAGTTCGAAACCCGATCAGAATACTGAGCGTCACAGTCAAGCCAGACCACACCTGATGGGTAGGGCCGGGTAGGGGCCATGTAATGGACATGTTGTAAAAGGTTTTGCAGTTGAGCCCTTCGTCCTGGGATACAGTGACATCGCCGATGCTGATCTTCTCCAGGCTAACTTCGCGGTCTACGAAGTACAGCAGGATCGTGAACAGGAGAGATGGTAAGGCCAACAGCAGCGCCTTAGGTGCTACAGAACCCTTCAGCTGGAGCAGCGTCCAGAGACCATCCTCATAAGGGATCATCGTCAGCCGGCCAAGCTCACAAGCTGAGTCTTGACCCGAGCTGGCTGCGGACAAAAATGCGGCGGAGGGTGTCAGTCGGCACAGCTCAGCTAAGCAGTACGACAGGTTGAAAGATAAAACAATCCAGGCCGGCAGCACTTCACCCAACTCGATCGTCGGATTCGTTTGAGTGTCAGCAGCAACGCCGGGTGAAGAGGGGCCCGTGGGCGACGATGTCTGAAGCAGCGTGCTGTGGTCCGCTGCTCCTTGGCTACTTCCCCCTGGTCTTTGCATCCTCTGCGAGCCCGTGGAGGCAGGTCCCTCCAAGAATGCTCCGGAAGGGCCTTCTGTTGCGAATCCAGAATCCTGACCTGAGGTGTTCAGTGCAGAGAAGGGGGTCCAGGCAGTGCTGAGGGTGTCGTCCTGAGCGTCGCGGAATCCGCGCCTTCGAGGAGAAGGCGTTTTGGGCGGGGGCTCGTGCCCTAGCTTTCCGATGTCTTCAGCATAGGCTGTCGGACTAATGGAAACGTGGCTCAAGAATCTCGAGATTTCGTCCTCCTCGTCTTGGGAGAATTTACCTTCGCCTTCCTGCCGCAAGTTCGGCGGCAAGCGGGGCGGGTTCGGGCCTGGGCCTGGACCAAGGCTCGGTGCCGGGAAAGGCGGCGCTGAGCGCCATGAGGGCCATGAGCCCTCGCCCGGGCTGCCCTCGACACCCATGCGGCCCATGCACTTGTCGGGAGATGCCGCCCATGCCGGTGGGCTGTTGACAAGCAGCCGCTTCCAGCTCAACGTGCGGTTCCAAGCTCCAGAGTTTGCTTCGCCCCCAGGCGATGCTCGCGGAACGGGCGAGACTTGTCCCACATGCGGCGCCGGCGAGGCCAGCAGAGGGAAGTCATCCCCCATGTGAGCACGCATCGCGAAGAGCCTGTTGCATTCCTTTACCTCTCCTGTGCTTGAAGGCTTGAAGCTCATTAGCTCGGGGCTTGATGTGGCAACAGCTTTGACGTCGCACATGTCTCGAAAAATATGTTGTCGAGGTTGCTGGCGACCTTACATTCGATTCTCACTTGCAGCCTATCTTCACGCTACTAAACTGACTGAGCTCTGAGATGAGGCACGGCACTCATAGTCAGCGGGAGTCCGAGAGAAATTCTGGGCAGCATGCTCTTTTTGCAGTGACGCCATCCAACTATGACGCCGGGGCACTGTCTCGGCGGAGTGAAATCTGTACCATACAATAAACGGCGGTACTCATCTTCAGTTGTCGCAAGTTCGGGCTCGCAGCTTTGGCCCACCTGACGGTTGCTTGGCACGGTATGCTTGTATGCCTGGGACTTCCCGCTGACTCCTGTCAGTGACACACATTTCCCCCGGCATCCGTACACCATTCGTCGAGACTCGCATGCTCAGTCGCTGTTGCACACGGGAATGTTTTCTTTGCACCATTCTTTGGACCCACTGCAGTGCTCCATGAGCACAGTTTCTTGGGCCTACGGTGAGACACGGAAATCGCTACACGAGCGGAGCTTTCGGTTCAAGCTACTAGTATGGACTACGTGTGGCTCGGACGCCTACTTTCTGTGAGAAACCCAAGCTCAGAAGCTCACTCGTCTCTCGCAGGTCTCCTTCAGCACTGAAACACGAAGCCGCGAGAACAACGCGAGCTTCGTCCCTGCAACGCTCTCCTCGGAGTTGAGCTGGAACCCTTGGAAACCTCGTCTGGAGTCTCAAGCAGGGAACTCTTGCAGCTTTGCCTGCAGCAAGATTAAGGCATCCACACCGGTCGCACTTTGCTGGGCCGGCTTTGTTGCAGCTGCTGCAACGATCAGCGCAGCCAAGGCACCTGCTAATATCTTTGGACCCTATCTGTACTGTCAAGATCAGGCCGGTCAACGCATGGGAGTTACGAGTTCGATGCTCGGAACTCGAGCTTACTTGATGTTTTTCCGGCCAGGTTGCCTCCCGTCACGGGCGACCCATCCAGTGTGGCAAACTTTGCAATCGTCGATCGAAACACATTCGGCACAGAACTCTCCACAGTCTTGGCACAGACCTCCAGCGAGTCTCACTCACTTGGACGGACATGCGCAGGAGATTCTGTGGAAAAAAAGCTCTGCCTGATGAGGTAACACCAAATCCTTTCCGACCTCACCGAAGTGGGAGTGGAATTGGATCGATGTAAACCATCTGTCCGAGTCGGCCACAACGACTGCACCGCCAGGGTTCTCCATCACAACCCAGGCAGTTCTCCACCTGAACGAATTGCCACAAACAGGTTCCTTTGCAGACAAAATGGATCCACACCTGGCAGGCTGTACACCTCAGCTTTCCAAACAGAAGCTTGGCCATTTCAGAACTGTCTGGCCTGCAGATGGGTGCTCGAATGAAGCTTAGGATTCCGGCTCCATGGTAATTTTGTCCAAACCAAAGCCGGCAATGCAGTCATCGCAGCCATGCAAGCCACTGGACCTACAGCAATCTGGTGAGCTTGCTTCCACAAGCAAAACCGGGTTGTAGCTGGGTCTGTGGCGAACAGTTGCGACAGTTCTGAAGACAGGGATGGCACTTCCAGTGTTGAAGAACCTTGAACACATCGCCATACAGAGTTGAAATTGGAGGACAGGATTTGCTCGTCTGCCCTGAGCTTCTGGCCTTCTGACTAAGCGCATATCGTTTACACTGAAAAACAACTGGCCAACTGAGCCAAAGGCATATCCAAGCTGGCATGCGGTGCATTCTGTGTGAGAAAAAGGACATTCGCGGCAGCCATCCACGCCTCTGCAATTGCCCCATTCTCCGGCAGAGCAATTCACAAGAGGCCCAGCAAGCTCAGGTGACTGAGGCTGGATCACTCCGCACATGTGGCATTTTCAGCCGGACCCCATCCATGCTCACAACTGTCGCATCCACCGTTCTCCAAACATCTCCTTCCCAAAGGCATTGGAGCATCTTGGGGCTGCAGTGCTCCGCTCCATGTGACAAGCGACAGCGAGACTGGGCCTGCAATGCGGGCCACCCTGGCTAGGTGCTGTGTAGATGCCAGCATGAGGTGCGGGACGCGGGACATGTACAGTTCTGCTCAGGCGTGGACACACGTCTGGCAGCTGCCTCGGTTCAGGAAGGTGAGGCCGAAGGCCGACTCGCCGCATGCCAAGCCAAACCAAAATCAGAGCTGAGTCGCCGTTGAAATTAATGCTCAAGCCATGCTTGCACTCCACGCACACATCCAGATCCTCTCTATAGCACCGGAAATCCAAAACAAAGCAATTCAAGCACCAGACACTTGACAGCATCTCCTCATCCAAGCATCGTGAACAATTTGCATCCTTGCATGGCTGACACCTTCAAAACAGCGGACATTTATCTTGGATCAAGCCAGACATCGGGCCCTGGGCGGCCCTGAGCGCACCTGCCGTGCTTCAGCCCAAAGCCCTCTTTGCAGCCCCCGTTGTCACATCCGATGGATTCCTTCGGAGCAGCTGAGGAGCTCTGCGCCTGCCTGGAAATGCACGGCTCGGCGCTCCGAATCGGACATGTTGTGCCCGAGGGCATTCAGCTCGCATTTGTCACCTGAATGCCACGTCATAGAGAATGCCACCAACTTGAAAACGAACAGCAAACCTGTTGATACCAAGCGACAATCCTTGGCACACGGGTAGCATTTACCCAAGTGAAAATGGGTACCTGTTCAGCGCACGTAGCTTTCCAACTTGTTTCCTTGAGTATGCACATGGTTACCGGCCTTCTATGCACTTGCCCTCGTCACAAAGTCGGGGCCCCGCAAGTTCGCAGGAGGTGCAGAAGTGTGCGCACGCAGGTATCAGCCTCGCATCTCTGTGTGAAAATGTCTTGAATCTGCTCTGGTAGCCCGGGGACGCGTGTGGCGGCGGTTTCGGGAAGAGGATGGCTTTGGCAGTTGCTGGATTGCTTGCTTCAGCTATGAACGCCAGCTTTCGTGAAGCTGCGCACGTGAACTCTCTCTACGTTGAGTTCGACTCTTTCGCAACTCGAGATTTGGGAGTTGCAACTTGGCGAAGCAAATCTCGTTGCCCTGTGCGAAAGCTGGGCCCTCAGCAAGCTGGCCATGGCAGGTTTCGCCGCCAAAGCGTTACCTCGGACGCACTGTATTTCTAAAGGGAAACCGTGAACGGAAGTGTTGGGCTTCATGCTCAAAGGATTCTGCGCCGTGACGTACACCATGTAGGTTGATGGTGTGTAGCTTGCCGGCGCATCTTCCTGCATGTGGTGACTTCTCATCCCACGGCTTGCATTCGCATCCCGCCTGTATGCCAGGGATCAGGAACGTGGCTTCAAACGGCTGAAAGGTCTTGTACAGTTTCTCCTCGCTCAGTGCTGTTGCCGCTCAAGCCTTTCCGGCATACACTAGCGCTGTGTCGGCAACGGCTCCCGCTTGAGCAAGTTGCTGTAGACATGCGGGGAGAAGCCACGTGCTTCTAGCCAGTGGTACGCCTGGCTCCTTGTACAAGCAAGGCTAGCACGGATGAGCCATGGGCCAAGCAAACTGCAGGAAGATGTGCCATTCAGGCCTGACGGTTGCTGCACCTGCATGTTGGGTCGGGTCACGACAACTCCGTCTAGAATCGAGTGGCGGCGCAAAATGGTTTAAGCACCCGACTTCCAGACTTGAAGACACCATTGTTGTTTGCATCGTTTCCTCTCATGACCTGCTTAGAGACGGCACGTGCGGCTCTGCATAGAAACACATCTACTTCACACCAAGACTTCCCGTTCCTGCAGCGAAGAAGGAGTAACCGGCTGCGCAGCATACTCCAGGGCCACCCAGTGCAATCCTTTCTGCAATACAGGAACTCTTGAAACTTCCAGAGGCTGAGCCAGCGGCTGGGTGCCAGCGCTTTGTCCTCGGTTGAACAAACGGACGCGCCCTATGCCAAGCTGCAAGGACCTGCCGGGTCCCGGGCACTGTCTGCATCCAGGGCTGCAAGGAGCAGCACAGAAACGTTTGCTGACAAGCCCTGTCCTCGGCAGTGGGGTCCCAAAGGGGCACAAAGAGGCCAAGGTGGGCGCCTTGTCTTCACATTTTGCTGACCGGTGGGCCGGAAGCTTTGACAAGAGGTGGTGTAGCCACGAATGACTGCCCTTCGAAGCAGCCATGACCCAAAGCAGTAATCGGGCAGGAAACTTCCGGGATAAGCACATCGCAAAATCCGCACAGGCACGGTAGAACAGTTGTTGTACTTGGCTCGGGCACCCGTGGCTGATGAAGACCTGTCCTTTCCTCACACTACTCAACTCACCATACTAAGGGGTGAGTGGATTTCCTACTTGGTCCTACTTCGTGTTGCCGCTCTCTCGAAGGCGAAGAGCTCATCACTTCGGATCGCAACAGGAGTAAGATGTACTCTTTGTGGGGCAGCACACGTCACGATTAGCAGCCGAGTCCTCGTTCATCGCCTGCACTGCTGTACTCTCCGAATACACGAGAACTGACCCGACTCCAAACGCATGTCATCGCCGTTTTCAGTATGGCACAACAGATTGTCGAAGGCAACCCAGTCTTCACTAAGCATGGAGCTTAGTACGTCAGGTGCCGCCAGTCCCATGGATGTGTCTGTCCGACACCCTGTTCACTGTTGGATCCTTGACCACCGTTTGCGGGTTCATACCAGCTACACAAGACGCTCCCTGCGTCGGCCGCTAGCTCCGATGTGCGAGGCTTCCATTACACTTTACACCCCGTGCTTGGAAGGAGAAACAGCAAAACCCGCCAGGCAATGCATACAAACATGCTGGGTGCATGGCCTTTGTGGTGGACGAGCCTCATGGCAACAAAACATAGGCTCACGAGTTGAAGTTACAGCAGCCAGCAGCAAGCGGCGGGAAAGGGTACACAGACTTCAGGCCGAGACTGCGCTACACAAGTGCCGTCATCGACGAGCATCTTTGGCGGATCTTCGTTGCTGACTTTTCCAAACCTCATGGAGGCCGGCGAGCGGCGCAAAGCAACGCAGCAACATCGGATTTGCAACATGATGCAGCATGAAGGACTTAGATTGCCCTGTGTCCAGTAAGTCGTCCACGACAGGAGCGTCAGTGGAATCGTGTTGAAGTAAATTGACATAGCCAGGGACAAGAGGATCAGGGTCACCTACGCCAGACATCACCATGCCGGGTTTTGGGAAAGCATGGGTTGTGGCACTGGGGCTTCGACGGGCATGAACATGAAAATCGCTCTGATGGACAGACATCGGCATATTCCACCATGTCGCCTGGGCAGCTCAAAGACGGCTGTGTGGATAGGCCCTTGCTGAAGCAGTCGGCCTCTTGAAAGCCTGAAGGCGTTCCGGGGAAACTTCCACTCGAAAGTCCAAGTACGTCATTCCATCGACAAACCTGAAGCCACAATTCTCGAAGTTTGCTTCTGCTTTGAGCTGAAACCGGCGCACCCTGCTGCTAGATTGTCCATGTCTACGATGATGAACACGCTGAAGATCTTCAAGAAGCAGCCGACCTCAGCAAGGTCCACAACACTCGTGAAACGTCGACTGCGTCACGCGGTCCCACAATTTCCCCCAGGGCTCGTGCACAAGACGTTGAGCCGAGGACAACCGAGAGAGACCTGCAGCTTGCTTAGCACTCACAGAAGACTTGCTCTCTCGCTCATGCTTTGACGTGTTCATTGCTAGATGCGTTTCTGGGGACACTGGTGGAATCACAAGGACCGAGCACGAACAGTACCAACAGCGCCATGAAGTACTGCAGCGCAAGGGCCCACCAGCCCACAACCTAACTTCACTTGGCATGTGTTCACATGATGGCATGCACGCCGCATGAAAGTTATCAATTTGGTCACTGGCAGGCCGAAAGCCCTCAGCAAAAGCTCCGACCTGTTCCACGACAAGAAGGTTCTCTTGCTGTCTCGAAACTGTCCTTGGGGATCTGGCCACAAGACATCTGCAGAGACGCTGCGCATGGCCAAGTTCTATGGACACCTGAAGATCATGCAGGGCACATGCATGACAGGCATTCTGCCTAACAAACTGTGTGTGTGCGGTCTTTGGCAGGCCTTGAAGAGAGACAGCATGATTGAAATCATCCTTCGCAGTGGGGGGAACCACTGTGTTCTCGAGGCAGATGCCCTTTTGCTATGCCGAGTAGCTTCATCGTGTTGAGACTCCTGGGTTCCAGAAGTGCAAAGACACTGAGAGCATAGAAAGAAATTCGCCGTGAGCAGTCTCTCGAATCTAATCCCAAGGACCAGTAGGAGGATATAGGCTGCTTCCACTTGCCACCCTCGAACATTGTCTCGTTCTGGTAGGCCAAGAAATACAGCACCTCGCGAATGTTGTCTCTCTTGCTGCTAAAGTGCTGCACATGTTGTCAATTCCAACTCTGAGCAACAAACCAAAAGCTGGGCAATGCAAGATGCAAGTGGCGCGCAGATCGCAGCCCAACAAGGCACCTGCACGACACGTGACAGATTTTTTGGCCGTCTGCACCATCCATCTCTGCAGCCAATGCCTATTGCTTGCAGGTATCGCACCCCGAATATTGTCAGCCGGTCAACTAAGCTAGACTACTGTTCTCACCTGCGGCGTCAAGGAGATGGAATAGAAGTCGTGTTCCAGCTCTATCACCTGCAATGGGAGCAAAAGGCACATTTGCAAGCCTACCGGAAAATGCGCGGTCAGAACGGGAACAGGAAAGCAAACCTTGGGAAACCATCTAGCAGGCAGCGGAACCGATAACACATTCCCTACGTGTGCGGCAAGATGCACCTCGGTCACAGAGTCCACAACTGGCGAGGATGCCTCGTAGCGATGGGGTGAGGCATCAAAAAAACTATTAACAACATAAAAACTATTTCAAAAACATATTTGAGGTGTCAGAAAACTGATTCCTCAACTTATAATTAAGCAAAACAAAGAGGCGGCAGGCTAATCAAAAGATCAAAAAATAATTTAGGGATCAAAAGAAGTATTCCCTTTTTGTAAGCAAAATAGCGAGGAGGCAGGACGCGTTGCAGGTGGAGGGCTTGGCCTCCGTTTGCTTCCGGAATCCCGCCAGTGCATAGGGAAGAACATTTGGTCAGTCCAACAGAACCCGCTAGAACTCGGGGTATAAATCCTTCTGGCCGTGCGTGAGAGTCTTCGCTGTGTGCCTGAAAAGCACCAATGCTTGGGGGAGAGCCTTTTGGCTCTGGTCCGGAAAGCATATAACAGAATGCTCATAGAAAGGCTGCTTGACGGAATGTCAATTGATGGTGCGCCATTCTTTGAACCAGGTTCGCATGGCTTAAGACTGGGGGGGGGGGGGCAGCCCCCCTGCCCATTTGCGAACAGAATGCTCGTAGAAAGGCGGCTTGAAGGAATGTCCACTGATGGAGCGCCATTCTTGAAGCGGGTTTGCATGGCTCAAAATTTCATATGCGCAGAGGGTTTTTTTGTGTACACCATGTTCGCTTTACAAGTGCTTGGCTTGGCTTGGTTTGAGCGGGGATGGGGGCGAGGGGACGGGAATATATACATGTGGAGGTACAGGTATGCAGTTTTTTGTATATGTGTATACATATTCATCTTCACACACACACACAAACATTTACATACATAATATATACATATGTATACACATACATACACATATTTGCATAACCACATGTATATGTAGGTAGATATATATATATATGTACATATACATCCTTGTACATATACATATATACATGTATACGTATACATATACATCCTCATCATCATTATCATCCTGAGAATGCGCACGAAATGAAGCTCTGGGACTCAAGGTTTCCGGTTGATGGTTTCAGAGGGCCTTTTCTTTATGCTTACTGTTTGCAAAGAGTGCACGGGCCTAAGTAACTGGATATTCAATACGACAAGTACATTTATAATTACCTAGGATCCTCAGTAAGGGACTAACTTCTCTGTGCTGAGTCGCTGGTCTATCTATCTTTCATGCGTCATTCGTTTTTGTCTGTTCTTTCTTTTCTACATCTTCCTGTCGTTCTTTCTTTCTGTCTTTCTGTGTTCCTTCCCTCTGCGCTGAATTCCTCTCGCTTTCCGTCTCGTTCTGTCTTTATTTCTTTGTTTACGTTGTCGTTCCTTCGATTTGTTCGGTTTGCTTTTTACTTGCTTACTTCTTTTGTTATGTCTTTCCTACGTCAGTTCCTTAACTATGTCTGTCTTTCTTTGTCTTTGCGCTGAATTGCTATCCTTATTTCTGTGTTTCTGTGTGTGTGTTGTTATTTCTGTCTTTCGTTCTTTTTTTATTTCTTTCGTGCGTTATTTCTTTCTTTCTTTAGTTGCTTCTTTCGTCCTTTGTTTCTTTCCGTCCTCCTTTCTAGATTTTGCTTGGAGTAGTTTTTTGGATCCCTGAGACAGGCGTCTATGCTTTGTGTTGTTCCGTTGTCGTTTGCCTTGTATTTTGCAAATAAAATTGGATCCCTGAAATAATTGTGTTGATCCCCTAAAAAGAAGTTTTTTGACCCCTTAGATAGCTTGTTTTAACCCGTATCCCGTAACGATGGCACTCTCTGCAGTCGGTCTGTTCTAACCGGCGGTTGGAAAAGGAAGGCGCAGGCAGGACGCAGCATGCGATCATCCGTGATGCTGTCGCATCCTTGGCATGCGAGACAAGACCTCCTGATTCGCAGTATTCTCACTCCAAGCCCTCTGCGACTGTCACGTGCAACTGTCTGGTCTCGTTTTGCGCCGAGCCACGACCCCAGATAGCCTTGTCCGGACGAGACCATGGCGAAGGAGCTTCGATCGCTGCAACGGCCCCAGCATCCCTGGACGCAGGATGCGGGACAGTTGCTAGTTGCTAGGCCTGCCAGGCCCTGCTAGGCACACGCACGAATCTGAGACTCCCAGCATTTCAACTTCCCGCTTGCTGCTGTCGAGTTCCTGTCCTCCAAGGCAGGGTCAGGGCAGGCAATGGGCGGGGGATGGGCGACACGCTTGCTGGATCCACGGAAGATGAGTGAACCCTGTTGCCAATGGGCAGAGTTGTGCGACTGTGGCGTGTTTCGACTCTAGCACGGACATGCAGAAAACCCGGCAAGCAAGCAGGCAGTCGACCCTTGCCACTTCTAGAGGTGCAGCGACTCGAGCATAGTGCGAGCTGGCGGAGGTTGAAGATAATTACTGTAGTATCCGTGACAGCGGCAGATCAAAGACATATATGACATAAATCATTAAACATGCGCACATAAGCTACCATCGGGAGACCACGGGAAGAGTTTGTCGAATGGCAAGACGCTTTTGGGAATGCGCCCTTGATGCCTCTGTGCAGCGAAAATCACATGCTGTGCCCAACCTGCGTGGCTACCGAATCGGTCGCGAAAGAAGTCAGCTACTTCGAGATGGAGTCTGGGTGTCAGTGAAGTAGTGAGCCGGCTTGCAAGATGTGGTGCCATGCGTCTTGCCGCCCTTGCAACATGAACATCCACGGGCACTGCCCCACTGAAGCCAAGGCCGTACAACGCCACACAGGCCGCAACTTTTGGCCCCACTCCCGGGAAGCGCTGGAGTTCTCGCTCCGCATCTTCTCGTTTCAAAGTCTTCAAGCCTTCCAGGTCTGTCGATACCAGGTCTCGCGCTGTCGCTGCTATGTAGCGAGCACGGTACCCCAAACCCAGCTCGACCAACTTCGCCTCCCCAAGGCTGGCCAAGCACTCTGCAGTGGGAAAGCTGCAGATGCTTTTCCGCAAAAGCAGCTCGTGAACGTGCGATGGAACCTCACCTTTGTATGCCTCTACCATTCGAGCCGCAATGCTTGGCGGAAGCTTGCACAAGGCTCCGCCTGCATGCTGGCGCATCTTCTCCAGCATCAGACTGATCCGCGGGACATTGTTGTTAGCAGAGCAGATGAAACTGATCAGCGCCTCAGTGGGGTCCTGCTGGAACACGCGGGCACCCGGGAGGGTTCGGACAGCTTCAGCGGTACCCTCGCCCCAAACAGTTTGCAGATCCAAAAGCGACGGATTGCCCTTGCCATAGTTCAAGTATCTGAGAAAGGCCTGCAGATCTAGCTGCCCGGCCAAGGGCTTAACCAATGTAGTGTCAGGAACACTCCGCAGCTGCACGCAGCAACCACAAACGATACCGAGCCATTCATCCGAAGCGATGCGCTTCCAATGAAAGCACTGGCCGGTCTCCAGGCTGGATGCAGCACGGAACTCCGAAGCTGGAATGCCCAAGTCAATCCAGTCGCTGTGCCCGGCAGTGGTCATGTTGGGATCCCTACACTTAGGCTGGGTGACCACACTGCCTACATCGCCAGCTGTGAAGATGCCGCAGATTTGCAAGGGCACTCCATGGTGGACATAGCTCGCAGACCCTGTCAGACTACAAGCAACAAGGACACACAGAAGCCTGCAGTAGCAGTAGCGGGAGATCTCTCCTGACAGAATGGGCGGCAGAAACTCGCTAAGATGCTTCGCCCAAGGAGGAGCACTGCCGGTGCGTCTGCGAGCAAGTCGCGTGCCTCGGAAGACTGCGAGAGCGGCCTTCTTGCGGGGTCTGGCATGGCTCCAGGCCTGAGACAAGTCACAGTCTCAAAACATCGACGGATGTCAAAGCAGAGCTTCGCACACCCAAGGTCTCAAAGATCGTGGCAAGGACGAGCCTCAGTGATTGGCTTCGAAGCCTGCTTTACGAGTAGGAGGAACGATTTGAGCCAAGCACTGTGGCGCCCGTTTTGGGAGCTGTTGTACCTTTCCACACTTAGAAGGCTGCTGTCCTGAGCCATAAGAAAAGGCTCCACGGCGGTTGAAGTCACCAACTTCGAAATCATGCGTCCTTGTGCGGAGATCCAGACGGCGAGTGCGTAGGCAACCACCACCTCCACAGCACATGCGCAGGTACTGTAGTGCCGGAGTACCGGAACCATGCCAACATATGTACCAGGACCATGGCGGCGTAGATGCCGACTCGCTTCTTCCCGGAAGCCTCTAAGGCACTGTAAGGCAAAGAGAAACGCAAGAGACAGCTTTGAAAGCGCCTGGACAATAATGTCTCTTGATCACTGCTGGCTCCTCTGCCGAAGGCACAGAAGGCACAGCTCCTCCCAACTCTGCCTTGTGGGCCTTGCTCGAGGGACTTGGCTCGCATCCACGTTCGCGGCTCCTGTCTATGTGGTTGTTAGACACGAGTCGCCTTGTATGCACAAACCGGGAAAAAGGAGGCGCCAAAAGCACAGGATGGAGATCCTTGTGATTCTCGGCATCAGGAAGAAGGCTCTCCTAGATACATTTCCCATCTTTCTACAATCGAGATCTGACTGCGGCCGAAGGGATAGGTCGGGGAGTGTTCAGGAAGACTAGTGGAGCAGCTGAGTGGAGAGCTTCAGCAGTGTCCATGCTCGTCGAGATGGGGCCGTAACCGGGGGCCTGGCGCATCAGCATCAAGTTCAACGAGATCAGCCAAGGGGGGGCCGCTCAGACTGAAGACCCAGAACGCAGATGGTCAGCAAAACGTGAAGAACCGCAGCAAGCACCAGGAAGTTCTTCTAGGCTGATCGCATGAAGTAGCCATTTCAGCAGCAAATATGGGAAATCAAATTGGTGCCCGTGACATGGAGGATCTACGTACAAGTGTTGCCTCCTCTACAATAGGTCTCTGTGTCTCTCAGTCTCTCTGTCTCGTTGCCGCGGTCTCTTCATGACAGACTTAATGACAGAATCTTTCTTTCGGCGACCTGACGTTGAGACTTGAGCCACTCCCGCACGGAGACTGCTCGAATCGGCGGAGCTGCTGGGAGCGACCTTAGCGAGACAAGTGACGGCGAGTGCGTGGGGGCATTATCGACAGCGCATGCCAGGGTTGTGGCGTGATGCCGATGGCCGCAATTGGCCGTTGCGCTGCACTCCGATGATATCCAATGAGAGTCCAGCAAATTGGCTGATTGGCTGATTGCTGCTATAACTTAGCACCGACTAAAAACCCGAGCCCTCGACGATCCCTGTTTTGTAGGGCTGCACTAATTCGGCGCGCCGCATCGCTAGGACGTTCAACCTCTTTGGTGTATGTGGTGGTCTGTGAGCTGAAAGCAGGAAACGAGCCAAGCTCACCACAGTCGCAAATCACGCGCATCGCAGCTTCAAGCGGTGCATCAAGGCCTGGTCCCCGACTCGCCCGCTGCGATCTGGCTTTCTGCCATGACGGCGCTTGTTGCCCACATATCTGGCAAAATCGAACAGCACAATGTCAGACGTGGACTGCCAGCACCAACACCACACAGGACCATCGAATCGTCAAAAAACTGGCGCAAAGACTTCCACCACAGCAAGCACATTCACAAAATCCCATTTTATTTCTAGCTTGCTGCGATTGTTGGCACGGCGATTCAGGCAGATGGTCGGAAGATCACGGGACGTCCTAAACAGATACCTACCGCAGCAATGCTTTCCGAAATGCCTGCGGCGGCAAAGAGCTCCTTGTGTGAGACAGAGGGGCAGAGCACTCCTTCGGAAATATACACTGGTGAAGGCACTGCAGCTTGTTAGGCAACGGGAAGCCAATGCACCTTCTTGGCAAAGCCTTTCTCGTCGAGCAATAACCTTACGCTGCATTTGCAGCCCGCCTGAACCTTGGAGATCTTGAAATTGAATCCTTCACACCTCCACTTGGGATCAGGTCCCTGGACCACCATTCCTCCTTGACATCTCTGAGGAACTTCACCGGCATGCAGGCAAGTGGTGCCTTGTAGGTCTAGCAATACCTGGAAGGCTTCCTGACCCGACTCGCCGACGTGCATGGAATAGGAAAAGCAAGCCTCATCCGGGCTCCAGATCATCTCCTCAGCACTCCAGCCATTCCATGTTCCAGAAATGTAGTAGGACCGCCGAGCTCGTGCAGGAGGGGCCGTCTCTGAGCCAGTCAAGGCAACCATCTTCTCCATGGCTTGGTTTTTCGCTGCCTTCTTCTCCAGCAACCTTCGGATGCTTACCAAGACAATGGACAAGTTCTGTTTGCTGAAAGTGCCGTGTAATGAAATTGTAGCATGGCTCTCTCTCGACGACCCTGTCATTTCTCAGCCAAGCAGCTGGCTGCGCTTCTCTAGAATCTTCGCACGCCGAAGAGCTGTCCTCTCGTCCTTGACCACCTGATCAACCATCGAGCGCTGCCCGGCAAGGGAATCGCTGATCTCAAAGCTGTCTTCATGCAGAATGGCGCTGCCGACACCATCAATCTGCACCTAGCACGACACAGCACCGCAGAGACACTCCGCAGTTAGTTTTGGACTGGCATGTGTTGTTTGCGAGGAAAGGCAGCCTTCCACTTGCCGTCACTGAACTTTTGGGACAGTGATCCCGTCATGCCATTCTTGCCGTGGACACCGGTTAAGACAATCCTGGCACATGCTTTGAGTAGGTGCATGCTGCACTTCGTCCGTCCAATGCAAAATCACAACCACTGGAGATCAGGAAAAACTCTCTCAGGCAGCAAGGGCGCTGGGTGCCCGTCTGCAGCAGTGACTTCATCTTGCCTGAACCAACTCTTACCAAGCATGGCCGCTATTGAGGCTCATTCTTGAGACGTGTCGCCTTTCGCTTTCAAATCATGGGAATCGTTCAGCAGGTCTGGCCAACCACCCAAGGGTGAGTTCGCCATATTCAGCGGAAGAGGCCCTAAGTCTTCGACGCGAGTGTTCAGAGAATCCAACTGATTCAAGACAGCCTCCGGCCCCGCCCAAGTGCCCCGGAACTTGGGCAGAGGCGACGATCTACGGTCTGGAGGTTCTTCAAAGCCTCTGAGACTCTACGAAGCTGAGACACGGGAGCGTAAACGAATATACACATATACACATATCGTCACGAGCATTTGTCACAAGGCTTTGCCTGCCTCGCGGTCTCTAGTCGCTGCCAGTCCTTCCCAGTCCTCAACACAAGCGGAGAGGTGTGAGAGCCTGCCGTTCATCTAGAGATCACCTTCTGTGCCGGGTGACTCCAGCGACCTCCGCAGCTTTCGCACCCTCAGATTCGGCCTGCGGTAGCTCCTGCAGACAAGTTGCCAGCAAGACTTGGCGAGCGTAGATCGAGAACACCATGTGCAATCGATCATGGTCCCGGTCCAGCTTGATCATGCCGGCGGTAGGCGTCAAAATGTTTGCTCGTGTTTCTCTGTCAAATTTTGATGGCATGACGAGCGGAGGAGGATGCATCCTCGCGCAGACGAACCTCACAGCCTGCAGAGACGTTTGCAGATGACCCAAACAAAACACACTGGCTCCCATGCAAAGTCTCAATTCCACCACGCCTTGGTGGCATCGTCCTGGGCTGCAGCAAAAGCATTGAGCCCGCTAAGCAGGTCAACTGAACCCAGTGCCGTCCAGCCACAATCGTAAGCAGACCATCTTCGACAAAGCTTAATACCTCGTGTCTTGTCTGCGCGCTTGCCGGAATGAGTTAAGACTGGTTACGACTCTGCACTGGCAGTTGGAGTTCCAACACAGAACTTGCTAGAGAGAGTGGACCTTAAACCTTGCTGGCACGTCTGCTTCTGCGGCAGTTCCCGTTCTGCAGGCATCAGCAGACATATAACTTATATAATAACACATAAATTCCTTGGCTTCCTGATCGGATTCCACTGCTCCCTTGCTTTCAGTAAGTGCAGGACGTCGTTTGACCCGAAGCTCGCCCAGCGCATACCGATGCCACCACCGACACCACCCCACATGATCGTAGAGGAGTCTATCCTCGGTGCTGGACACGTTGTACTCTGTACTTCAGGATGCACTGACTGTCGCCAAGGATCTCTGGTCGATTGAGCGCTGGGAAGATATCGTTCACTGAATTTGCTGCAACGTAATTTCCTGCGCACCAGACGGTGAAAGCAGTCAACTCTAAGTGAAGTGTACCCGACGAGACATTCAAGCCTGTGTCGCCCTGAGTGCAAAACGCAAACATCTCAATCCACATTTTCACATCACAGCATGCATGTCCTTGACCAAGGTTCCCCATCATGGTGCTTCCGGCCGAAAAGCCGACTTGCTTGCCGAGCTTCATGGTTGTGTAGTTCAACTGCCCAAGAGCTTCTTGCCAGGGCATCTGGCGATGGCCAATGCCGGCCACCGACACAACCTTACAAGTCAGCTGGGAGAGCACACTGTCCTCAACGAGCAGCTGCGAAGTAATTGAAAGTACCAAGTGCAAACGACAAAATTAATTGCGTGAGCAAAGCTCCCTGGGGCGGAGGGGGGAAAGGGGAAAGGGTGTTCACGTCTAGCAGAACTGCACGATGCGACGAACTTTCGCCCTGGTGCAGTATGAATTTAGTGGCCGATAGTCCAGCAAATGGCAGTTAGTGAGAAGGTGCTTCCGCAGAACTTGTGAACTTGTAAGGAAGTCATTGCGACAAAAACGTAGCTCGAAACATTCTGCCCAAACGTGTTCCACCATAACTTCTTTGTTCATGAAATCGTGCTTGCCTTGTTGCTGTGTGCATTCAGAAAACGGTCCAGGTTCGAGCTATGTCGGTCAGTGCCACAGGTCTTTTGGCTTCAAAAGCCTTTCTGACAGCATCAGAAGGATAAACACAAGGAAGTGCAGTTTCTGCGGCCTGGCACTAGAAAAGTCTCAAACGCAAAACTGCAGCAAAGTCATTGTTGTGCGACATCATTCTTCAGCCTTAATGTCATTGCATAGCCGGCGGGCGTTAAAACTTGGCCAGTTAAATCGACGCACGCAACCTCTACAGGACCACATATGCCTCATAATCCTTGCATGAAGGTCAAGTCGGCGGCAAGTTTTTACTTCCCAAAACAAGTGGAAGTTCAAGCTCGAGATCGCGTGTTGTGTATTGAATGTTGTTATCAAAATGACAGGCACGGAGTCGTGCAAACGGCCCACATGTTGAATGTCACCAACTGGAAGCATGCAAAGGCAACACGACACAGGGTGCGCAGGCTTAAAGCCAGTGTCCGCAGTCATGCAAGGGACTTAATGATATCCACAGCAAAGTTGAAGGTCAACAGCCTGTCGCACCGATACGTGCAACACACATGCGTGGTGCAAACCCGGTGCGTTGTCCACATCACCCGACATGACAATGAAGTGTGTTCAACCTAACACTTCATCATCGAATACGACAACAAGATGAACAAACAGAACGTACCGTCACCTCATCGCCGCAAAGCTATCTGAGAGAAAGCGCTGTATGGCGATGCATGTCGAAGGGCAGCTATCCTAAACACTGGCACATTTGAAAATCATGTTATTCGCGAGCGTGGTGCATGGTGTGTCAGAATGTACTGAGGCTACTAAGAGCTTGCTAAGACCTCGCAAGATCCAAGGCATTCTCAAATCAGGGGCATTTCAGTCTGTCTTCGTATGGAAAGGAGTGGCTTGAATAATCCAGCACAACATATACCTTTAGTATCATCATGAATGACAATGCGCCTCGTCTTTCTGAGCCTTCGCTTGACCAGCTTCTGCCTGCGCGGCATACTCCTTTGCCAGATGGGTCTCCCCCAGCGCAGACTCTCCTTCAAGTCCAAGATCCCGACGGCGCGAAGCATGTGCATGGGAAGCAGCACGTGGATCTCGCGCCACAGCAGCTTGCACAATCTCCACATCTGCTTGGAACTTTGGTAGCAGGAACTTCAAGGCTGCACCATTTCTCTTGACTGCCTCGATTGCAAACGCCTTGTCATTTCGCAGCTCCTCAGTCACAAATCGGACAGATGCTCCATCATGCACCACCATCTCCAGAACCAGGTCTCGGTCGGATTTTAAGCTTTCTTTGGCTCCCTGTAGGCAAGAACCGCTGCCAGCTTTCGCCGCCGCCACGAGGAAGCTCTTGTCGCTCTGCAGGGCATCTGATGCATGTGCTAAGGCAGCCCCGTGGCTCCCAACGGCGGCGAGAACGAATCTCCTATTCGCCCACAATTCCGGGGCGGCGTCTGCAAAGGCGGTCCCAAAGAAGGACGTCGCCAGCAGCACCAGGTTCTCATCGGCCCGCAGCTCCACGGAAGCATACTTCAATGCCCTTCCCTGGCTGGACACAATGGCATTTTGCACCAACTCCCGGTCGTTGGTTATCTCATATGGAGCATCGGCAAGCAGCTGCCAGTCTTTCTTAACACCGGCCGACCACATCCCATACCGCCAACTCTTGGGATTCAGCTGTGTCTGTGAAGCTTGAGTTTCGTCTTCCCCGTTCTTGATGCTTTCCAGCTGGGTCCGGGCAGCTGCCATGCCATTGTGAAACACGCTGGCTGCAGCCAATTGCGATAAGTCAACATCCACATCTTCACCATGCTGCTTCTGCAGAGCGGTATAAGTTCGCCGCAACTCTGCCTCCTCCTGTGCAGGCAAGTCATTAATCATTTTGTACTCCCTTCTGAGCTTGTCTGCGCTCTTGTTATTCGTCATGCATGCAAGCTTCGCATTGACCAGGAAGTCCAGGCTCGGAATCCCTAACGTTGTGGCAGCAAAGCCAATGTCAAATAATGCTTCGACATCAATGTTGACAAAGCTGCAATCCCAGCGAGATACCCCACAGTCGCGCAAGTCGCTGCTAGGCAGTGGAGTAATGACCTCACTAACACTATGATCTCGGTGATGCTTCAAGTACTCGCAAACCTTCAACATGGTCGTCTTCTTCAGCTCAAACTTCAGAACGTGTTCACAACCATTCTCTGTCCTGAGCCGATGCAGGTTGGACTCGGCACCAGTAGATGTTCGAATTACGAGCGGCTAGCGGCCAAAAGGTTAGACTGGCGGCACGAGGCTTCGAACACGCCCAGCCAGGCAGGCCGCTTCAGCAGGGAGCTCAAAGGTTTCACCTCCACTGCAGAGAAGCAGAAAAGAATGCCTCGACCGCTGGTGGAATATGACAGTTTCAGGTGCCCGTCCCACCTTCGAGGCATTCTAAAGTGACAAGCTTTCCCTTCAGATGCGAGGGACAGGAAGGACCACCACGTCCAAACTTCAGAAGTCCTCGGAGGCTACACTCGATGCATCAAGCAATCAAGCCTTGCGAGCCCTGCAGCCCGTGCCTCTAACTTCGTAGATCTCTCCAGCCATTGTGTGACGGCTGAGGCTCACTGCCAGCCGTGTCTACAGATCATGATTTGAGGCCATCTCGAGCCACAGCTCACCGAAAACACGAATTCGACTCGGATTCTCTGACAGACCAAGAACTAAGCACGTCATGTGCACAAATGGCTGGGGCCTGGAGCTGTCCACCACAAGGCCTGGTTCTTCGCTTTCCCGTGCACATCTGTCTTCCTCATGTCCGACTTCAATTCAGTTCTGCTCTGCACTGGGCCACTTCTGAAAATTCTGGGCTGTGCACGGCGTATGCCAGCGGCATGTGCGAGTCTTCCTCCTGATTTTAGATGGGGAACGAAGCTGCGACACGGCAACAGCCGACAGCATCTTGCAAGTCCCGTGCTCCAGCTCTTGAGCACGCAGCCGTCCACGATAAACCCGGCTCCTGAAAGACGCGGTAAGGCTTGGCCAGCACCTCGCAAGCTTTCTGTCCCGTGCCTCTATCCCCTGCGAGCCGAGGCCACCGTCACGTTTTAGAAGGTCTGAAAGGGTAGATCAGGGCTCAACTGCGCCGGCTCGAGTCCTGCCATGACTGGAGGGAGATGCGGAGTGGTTTCAGAGCCCTGACGATGGCGGCCTTGGCGCTGTGCCTTGGACGGGGCCATCTCCACAGGGAACTGTGGAGGATCACGGCTTCCGCTCTCCATCGTGGGCTTCATGTCTCGATCTTGGCCTGAACCTTCCGGAGACAGCGAAGGGCCCATGTGCTCCTCGACCCCTGCAGCCTCCTTGCCACTCGTTTCCAATTCATTCTCCGTGCTTTGAGCATTCAAGCGTGTAACAAGCTGCGCCCCGCCCGCGATGGAGATTGCAACGTCGGGCTCCGCCCTCTTGGTCATTGCTCGTTCTGTGTCTGCCAAGTCCTTTTTCGAATCACGAACCAGATCCCCAAGTAAGTCCGTCTCGTCCTTCTCTTCCGGTACAGCGCCTGAAGGCGTCTTCCCGAGGCCATCAACCGAGGCCCTCCTAGGGCCACTTGCCCTTGTGGCCTCGGCTGCTTCGGCGGCCTGGGCGGCCTGGGCGGCTGAAGCCTCCTTCCTGAGCAGGCGATTTTGGCCTGGGCTCTGGCTTGCGCTTGCGACGTCTCTGGGCCCCGTGCCTCTTTGCCTTGCGTTTTTCCTTCCGCTGACCTCAACTGCGAGGTGAGACGGGTCTTGCCTGCAATGCAAGTTCTGCACAGAGCACTAAGGGCTCTCACTTGCCATGCGACTGCTGTCGAGAAGCTCGCCTGCGTGCTTGGCGTGTACATGTGATGCACTGCAAAGTGAACGTCGAACGGCTCAGCAGGGCACGAGACTGTTGGCTAAGAGCAGCTGCACTCTGCACGGTGATGGCCACTTGGAGACTGTCCTGTTCAGAAAGGTCGGCGGCGATGGCTCCGAGTGCGCAAGCCCCATTGAAACTAACAGATAATCATGCAAGCACTGCGTGGCTTTCTGAACCACGCAACGGAAGGCTTCTCTCGGAATGCATTTAGGCATTTACTTCTTTCCTGAACGCACCTGCATGCCAATCGGGGAGAACGAATCAGAGCTGAGGAGCATCCGAGCCAGGAGAGCTAGCACAGAATACTTATCCACCTAAGCAGTTCTGAGATCCTGGGTCTGAGAAATTCCACGGCAACCAAGCAGATCAACAAGATAGGAGCTAATGGAGGTATACCCGGATGTCGAAATGGCATGCAGATCAAGGCATCCGAGATGAATTATCAAGGGCACGTGCTGAGAAGGCATCGCAACTACTCAGGCAGGAAATGCAAGAGCTTGTGTGGATCCACATCCTCAAGGCCATGTTTCTTGCTGTAGGTTCGTTGGTCTAAAGGCAGAAAGCCGAGCGAAATGGCGTCACCGGCAATGCGATGAACCTGAAAGGAGTCTTTGCAGGCGCCCAAGGCCGAGCCTGCAAAGGCCGAGCCTGCAAAGGCCGAGTGCAGGGTGATGTAACGATGCAGATCAGGCAGACCGCCAGGGTTGAAAATATGCACACCATGGAGGGGAATGAGTCGGGACAGTCTGGCAACCACTGCGCCGCCGAGGGAGTGACCCGTTGCTGTAACCCTTCGGGCCGTGTGGCAATGAAGCTGATGCTGCATGGCGGCCAAAGACTCTCTTGCTCGACTGTGCAATGCCTCGAAACTCTTGCCAATTGCTATGCATGCATCTCTTCCGAGGTCTTGCACATCTGACAAGCAGGTCCCTCGTTCTGCGAGAACCAGGTGGCCCCCGTTTGCGGGACAGTACCAGAAGCCTTGCCGGGAATCACCGCCGACATATGCGTACCAAAATTCTCCCTGAATGGTCTGACGGTCCATAGTTACCATCTCGCACGCCAGGAAGCCCTGGCGTTCAGAGGGGGCCCTGTAAACCTGCTTGGCGAGTCGCGCATGCGCTTGCGCGTCTGCACTCGCGACCTCTACAAATTGTCTGGTTTTGGCTCTGCTGATGGTTGCCTCTGCGGATGCAGCAGCGGCTGTCAGGCTAAGTTTGATGGATGCCTCCCGCAGGCGGTTCTTGGCCTTTTGTTTCAGCGTTTGCTTCAGCGTGTGCTTCACCACCTTGATCACATGATGAGCCGTGTGGCCAGCTGGCCTTGCACACAACATAGCTGGCTGCGAAAGTCCACTGCATCCAACATCCACCAACAACCTGCCGACCGCAATGGCACAACCTGTCCTATCTCCTGAGGATGCAGCATCCAAAACATCGGTTGCAGGGCCAACAACAGGGCAAAAGCCAACAGCAGTCCGCAGCAGTACCATTGTCATGTCACGACAACTACTGCTTGAGTTGCGAAACTCTGCGGGGAGTTTCTCGGGTACAGCCCTGACCAACACATTGCAAGTCATGTGCACCGCTAGCATCTGGCCTGAATACTTGTGGCCACATGCATGCAACCTACTCATGCAATAGTGTAAGACTCCCAATGTCGGTCCAAGCCGTCCCCTTCAAAAAGCTTCTTACATCCGCGTTCGCAAAACACGATCAACGGGCAAGGGCAAACAGGACTCTCTGTGCAGCGGATCTCATCCCAGTTTTGAAGCCCACACATGCTACGGCGGCATGCCCCAACTGCGGGCCAATCAGAGGGAGAGAGAGCGAGTTCATAATCGGCCTCCTTCTTCGGCTCCTGCATCGAGTCCCAATCCTGCGAAAGCAAGACAGGAAAAAAGAGCTTTCCCTGGCCGCTATGTCACGTCAACATGATACTTCTGCGGGGCTGACCAGGGCAGCCGCCAGCTCGTCTTTTGAAACCACACCGTCTCCGTCTGTGTCCAACTTGTCAAAGTCAAACTGCACGCGACAAGGGCTGTCGCCAAGTGCCCGCTTGCTATCAGACCACACCGAAGAAACTGCCTCCGCAAGTTTCGAGGTCTCTTCCTTCAACATGCCAACACGACTGGGTATGAGCTCATCTACGACACAGCGATCTGCCTGCATCCTCTTTAACTCATCCCGCGATAGAACACCATCACCGTCATCGTACTGCTTGAATACGTCCTGCCAGCTAGTGACGCAGCAAGCTGCCCCCGACATCTGCAAGCAAGTTTCGCAACAACCAAAGGCACACGAGCGAGCCTCGTCCTTGGTGTCCTGCATCGAGTCCCAGTCCTGCCACCCACGCATGCACGGAACCCAGCTACCCCGTCTTGTTGCACTATTAACAGGATGCTGACGGTGATTCTTCTACGGGGCTGACCAGGGCAGCCACCAGCTCGTCTTTTGAAACCACACCGTCTCCGTCTGTGTCCAACTTGTCAAAGTCAAACTGCACGCGACAAGGGCTGTCGCCAAGTGCCCGCTTGCTATCAGACCACACGAAGAAACTGCCTCCGCAAGTTTCGAGGTCTCTTCCTTCAACATGCCAACACGACGGGGTATGTGCTCATCTACGACACAGCGATCTGCCTGCATCCTCTTTAACTCATCCCGCGATAGAACACCATCACCGTCATCGTACTGCTTGAATGCGTCCTGCCAGCTAGTGACGCAGCAAGCTGCACCCGACATCTGCAAGCAAGTTTCGAAACAACCAAGGGCACACGAGCGAGCCTCGTCCTTGGTGTCCTGCATCGAGTCCCAGTCCTGCCACCCACGCATGCCCGGAACCCAGCTACCCCGTTTTGTTGCACTATAAACAGGATGCTGACGGTGATTCTTCTACGGGGCTGACCAGGGCAGCCGCCAGCTCGTCTTTTGAAACCACACCGTCTCCGTCTGTGTCCAACTTGTCAAAGTCAAACTGCACGCGACAAGGGCTGTCGCCAAGTGCCCGCTTGCTATCAGACCACACGAAGAAACTGCCTCCGCAAGCTTCGAGGTCTCTGCCTTCAACATACCAACGCGACGAGGTATGAGCTCATCTACGACACAGCGATCTGCCTGCATCCTCTTTAACTCATCCCGCGATAGAACACCATCACCGTCATCGTACTGCTTGAATACGTCCTGCCAGTTGGTGACGCAGCAAGCTGCACCCAACATCGTTACAAGCAAGATTCGAAACAAGCTCGACGCTAACGAACATATTAGCCAAAACCTACGGCGGTGCAGTGGCCCCTTTTTGGTCGAAGCGCGAGCTGCGCCGGCCAGGCACACCGCCCGAAAACTCGGTGCCGGTGCCGCGGTGCGCACCTCTGCGCCCCTCCGGACACCACCCGAGGGGGCGGCCGTTCTGACGAATGTCGGTTTTAGAATAATGCCCACAAGGGAGAGGAGGGCGGGAAGCAGAAAAACCGGTCGAGCCAACAGATGCTGCGGGGCTCGACCGCTAAGACTGTTCCTACACACACAAGTGTGTTTCACAACAAGCTCGACACTAACGAACATGTTAGCCAAAACATGCCAAAACCTACGGCGGTGCAGTGGCGCCTCTTTGGATTGGTCGAGGGTGCAAGCTGCGCCCGGCCAGGTACACCGCCCGAAAACTCGGTGCGGGTGCCGGGGCGCGCAGCATCTTCGTAAGGCCGGCCCGGCTTGGCCACGAACGAGGCCTGCCGATAACGCTCTGCCTCGGCCGGCTTGAGGCCATCTGCCGAAGACGCCGCCGTCGAAGAGGAGGGACCAGGCGGAGACGGTTGCCGCCCCAAAAACCACCGGGTTGCCGGTCAGGCCGAACACCGGCGAACATGCTTTGCACGGCCCACCCGACGACTTGGGCGCCGGCGTCTCGCCCGAAAAGACGATCTCCCGGAGACAGGCGGGCGGCGCCTCATCCGAAAGGGCCGTCGAGGTAGCCCTGGAGTCCGCCATGTAGATGCCGCTGCTGCCGACGTCTGTTGCCAGAAGCGGCAGGCAGGGCTCAGGATCCGTCGCAGCCATCGCTCCAGACGACGACGTAGAAGGCGACGCTGCGATAGCCGAGGACCAAGCAGGCGGACAAAAGGGGGGAGAGGAGCGAAGGCGGAGACGACGTGAAAGCCAGCCCCGCCTTAGACGCCACATCCGCCGTAGGCCTCGCATCAGCCAAGACGAGCACGATCTTCGGGCGAAAGCTCGAGAATGACCCCGGCGATGACGGTCTGGATCAAACAGCGCCCCTCCGTCTGGACCGCCGGGTCCTGGCGGGGGAGGGGCGACGGCAGGCGGCTCAACCGCAGCCGCACCGAACTCGGGCTGCCTGGCGTCTTCCCCAACAATCTCGACCCATTGGGGCTCTCCGGCCGGCTCGCCCTGGGCGGCGGCATTCTTTCCCATCTCGCCACCACGGGCGTAGCCTCCAGTGTCGATGCCGTAGGCGCCGACGTCGAGGCAGCAGGCGCCACCAAGCCGAGCCCGGCGATGGCCGCGAACCCGGCGGCGGCCTCATCGAAGGCGCCAGGCGAGGCCATGTTGACGCTATAGGTGGCGAAGGGAGAGTGGGGAAGCAGAAAAACCGGTCGAGCCAGCAGATGCTGCGGGGCTCGACCGATTAAGCTTGTTCCTACACACACCAGTGTGTTTCACAACAACCAAGGGCACACGAGCCAGCCTCGTCCTTGGTGTCCTGCATCGAGTCCGAGTCCTGCCGCCCGCCCGGAACCCAACTACCCCTTTCTGCTGCACCATAAACAGGATGCTGACGGTGATTCTTCTGCGGGGCTGACCAGGGCAGCCGCCAGCTCGTCTTTTGAAACCACACCGTCTCCGTCGGTGTCCAACTTGTCAAAGTCAAACTGCATGCGACAAGGGCTGTCGCCAAGTGCCCGCTTGCTATCAGACCACACGAAGAAACTGCCTCCGCAAGCTTCGAGGTCTCTGCCTTCAACATGCCAACGCGACGAGGCATGAGCTCATCTACGACACAGCGATCTGCCTGCATCCTCTTTAACTCATCCCGCGATAGAACACCATCACCGTCATCGTACTGCTTGAATACGTCCTGCCAGCTGGTGACGCAGCAAGCTGCACCCAACATCGTTACAAGCAAGCTTCGGTACAAGGACGGCGCACGAGCGAGCCTCGTCCTTGGCATCCTGCATCGAACTCCGATTCTGTCATTAGTAAGTCCGTGCTGCTAGAAAGCCCTCAATGCAAATGAACTCGCCCGCGGCACTGCTCAACAGCTGCTATGCACAGAATGCTGATGGATTGCTCCGGAAGAATGCAAGGCTGCAGGATGCGGCTTCGAGCGTCTGAAATCACGAGGGTGGCCCTAGCGACAGTTGGAAACTAGCCCACTCTTCTTGGTCGAGCTCGGTTTTAGAAGCACAGGACTCTCCAGGCGAGGCACAACGAGGCATGTGTCTTGATGGTCTTAGTTTTTGATGAACCCGAGCAGCATTACAAGCATTTGCAAGCGAACCGTGACTGGCATTTTCGAGACCCCACATACAGGACTGTTCGAACCAAGCACCACCTGTTCGCAAGTGTGATCAAGTGTGCATGGCTTGGCATGGATAGCAGGGCATGCTGTCCCCACCTGCAAACTGAACCGACCATGAGGAAGATGACAATGCTTTTCGTGAGCCCCCTCGGAATCAACACCGCCAAGCCCCAGCCTCGCTGCGACCATGATACAGTACTTTTTGAAGGAAAGAAAAGAAGACCGGTGGATCATGGGAGGGGGGGTGACCATCCATATGTATATATCTATATATATATATACATATATATATATACACATATGAATAAAACAGCCATGCAGATCATGCAATACATTCGGCGTGTGCATGCAGTCATGCATTTACAACTCATACAGCAAATTTGTACTTAGAATATACACTAGCAGCAGACGTCTAGAGAACACTGGAATGTTCCAAACCAGGAACGTCAAGTAAACCAACGATGAATCCTCAATGACAAAAATCCATGCGAAACATGATTATCGCAAAAGCATATCGCCCTGGCGTACTATTCTGTAGGGTGTAGGGTTTAAGGGCTGAGCGATATCATTGCTGTTGTATTATACTACTATAAGGATATCGCAATGTAGTGTTATTGTATTCTAGAAGTATAATCTAATACTATACTACTATATTGCTATAACACTTTCATACTATATTACGGTATCATTATTGTATTATTGCACTACCATTACTGTGGTTCAACTAGAACATCGATAGGAATCCTGACCCCAAGCTGCAAGCTCGTGGGGTCCACCCATCAAAATCCTACACTACCCTGCTTCCACCTTGTGGTTCTTAGTAGGAAGTAGTGGAAGATGATCCCTATCCAACCCCTACATGGGGGACTAGGGGGTTTGTGGTCGTCTTGGCTCGGTCAAATTGGGTTTTGGGCCTCGGAAGTACTTGCCAACACGAGTCTTACTTGGCCAGAAACTCCTGACGCGGGATCCAGGGCTTGACTTTCGGGGCCCAGAAAGCCATCGCACGCAGCGTAAACGCCCACGCCCGCGTGCACCTCTTGAACAAAAATCCGCGTGCACCTGGCACGCAATCCACGCTTGCACCTTAGACCTCGCGCCCAAGTTGCTCTCTAACCCCAGTGCGGTTCACGAGGGTTGCCCTAATGCTGCGTTGGATGTCCCTGCTCACAGGGGCCGCCCAGCACATTCGCAACACAGCGGGCTTTCAGGGGTATGATGCAGGTCTACAGCAACCACCGAAAGTGCGGAGGGTCGCTCACTGGAGAACGAATCGGAGACGCCCCACATCGCCTTACTGGCCCTCAACATGGAGGGAGGGAGTCAGGCACACAGAGTCCTATATTCTGACTCTGCAACTTGAGCCTGCATGCAACAACATGCATGTTGCAGTGGCAGGTGCTGGGGTGGAGGACGGGCGCACGAACGAAGGCTGTTCACCAAGCCTGCCCTACACAAAACACCTGCACGAAGAAACTGTCACGCTTTGAGTTTGGCTGCCCGATTGTCGGCAAGTGACCCCCACGCATGACGTGAGTGAAGGCCGGAGGACCATACAATAGTGGATACTGAAACATGGATGACAAGTTACACTTTGCATTCACGAATTCTCTGACGCTTTGTGGACTACTGCAACTCCACCACTGTCCCAAAAGAAAACAAAGCGCGGGAAGGAAGCCCGACCCTGCCTTCACGGCTGACGATTCCTCCGCGGAATGACCCGCCGTTGCAGGCATCTTATCCTTCAGAAGGGACTGTGCTCATTTGCAGGCGCACGGTGCAATTTTTTTCAACCAAACGCAACACGTCCTGTCGCAAACTGCTCCTCCCTGCCAAAAGGGCCTCTGACCGATGCGGCGTGTCCGTGACACTCTTCTTGTTGAAGGCGATTTCCTCCGTTTCTGCAAAGTCTGCCTCCTCCCTGGACTGGTGAGGAGGAGACTCGAGGCACCATGGAGGTGCAGCGACTTGGTGCTCTTCAGTAGATCTAAGGAGCTGCTGCACCCATTCCTCGGAACCTCGCAACTGCTTGGTGCGTCCCTCCGGGCTCAGATACCGCAAAGCTGCGTTCTCTTCCTTATTTGCTGGGCGCGGTCTGGGAACGAAGTTCGCCAAGTGTTCTTCGATCCGACTGGCCAGTGGAGCCTGTGGAAGGTCTCCCGGCATTCTGCACACCTGCTCGGACGGCGGCCCGGCATGGCTGTCCCGATTCTGTGGATCTATCTCCCATTATCTTGTTAAGTACCCGAATGCAAAAGCGGTAAAGGGCGCCATCGAGTGGCCGCAAGTGTTATTTGTTCATGCGGGACCTCAGATGCCATACATGCTAAAACACGCTCATTCTGCAGTCAGTGTACTCGCGAAGCAGCAACATTCAATAGCTTCCCTCGTCCCACATGAGGCATGTGAATGCAATGCCCCATTCACGCCGCATTTCTTCTGACATGAAGATTTTAACGATGGTGCAATGTCTCGAACATCACGCGGCATAGCCGGCCTCAGGACGCAGCAAAAAGGCCGACATTGGTGTGAACCAAAGAAGCCTGTCCTGCTCAAGCTTGCGCTTAGCTCGCGCGGCCAGCAAGTCGCCAGCTTGTTGCTGGAGTTGCCTCAGCCGCCAGTTGAATTGGCCGGCCCGGCCGATGGTCTAGGGGTGCCCTGCCTCAGCTCGTCGTCGCCTGTCGCCAGTCTACAAGAAGTTCAGCCGCCTAAAGAGCCTAACGAACCAGCCTAGAACCGGCAGTTTTGACTGTATAAGAGCCAGAGCCTCTCGGACAGCCATGGCCGCACAGCAGTATGTGAACCTCTTCAAATATCTCGGAACACCGCTCGGATCCTGACCGGCTGCGTCGAGCAGCTGGGAGGTGGCAGACTGCCTGTTTAACACTCCTCCACATGGCACTCCCTTGCTTGTCTCCTCACTGCCTGCAACCCGGTCTCGCATGCCCACGACCTCACCTTGGCCAAGAACGACGGCCATGAAAAAATAAATTGCATGGCATGGGATTCCGAGGCTCGTACCCATCAGGATCAAAGCTGGGCCTGGCAAGTCTTTGCGATCTTTCACCTGCTCGGGCGTATGCCACATCGAGTCACGAGTACCCCTGCACCTGTCTCTTTACAGGATACAGTGAAGTCGAGCGCACGGCTGCGGCGGCAAGAGTGGCCACGGTGCCCGCTACAACCTGCAACAAGAAAAGGCACAGTGCTGCGGAGAAGGGATGTAGATTTTTGCACCAGCTGAACCTGCATCTCGGGAAGCGAGGCTCTATCCACGAGCGCCATAGGTGTTTCCTGAGGCCACTGTCGCTTTTGGCTGCAACTGAACACACCTCCCCGATCGGTGATGCTAGGTCAGCTAGGCCATCGACAGCAGAAACCCCGGCCGCCATCATTTTCTGCGTGACACCTGGTTCGTTCAAAACCAGCAACTGACTGCGCACCTCTAACAGCTCACAGGTCGAGCGGAAAAACTGATTCGCCCCCAGAGATCCGTGCTCTCCACCACACTCAGCCTGCAAAGCTTCAAGCTGCCAGCTATCACAGCGGTGCACAGCTGCTGGTTTGAACCAACTTGGCGCACCCCATGTACAGGGCGAAGGTTGCGCTGGGAGCTGCAAATTGCGACCAGTCGAACTTCTCGTCTTTTATGGTGGACGGATTCATCGTCTGAACCTTGGCCAAATTTGTTTGAAGGCCCACGCTGCTCATTTGAGAGCTTGGATTCAGGCCCGAAGTGAAGTCGCACAGTTACGATACGTCAACGGCACGCGGGCATCAGCACCTGGGATATCAGCAGGCCGCTCTGGGTTAAGCTCTCCGACGCAGGAACCCGCACAAAAACCGCGCTTCCATCCGCAACATCCAGCCGGTGTCATGCACAAGGGCCCTATCTCTTACCAAAGCCTGCAACTTCCACAGGCACCTTGGCATGTCCGTTACAGCCCGTTCCGTAACAGAAATAATGGCCCCAAACTCACAGTGCCAAAGGAGAGATGTAACTTCCAGAGGTCAACTTCAAGTTCATGCCCACCGGGGGCTGGGTCCGGGTTTTCGGTTGTTATTGTTTGTTATAGTTGAGTATTTTTTGGTTTTCGGTTGGATCCACATGGAAACTTGCAAGAGTCACAGGGATGGCGAGAACTGAGGTTATAGGCGAAGTCGTTTTTGGGGTATTTTTTGTAGTTCTCGGCCTACTGGTCTTCGGCCCTCGCTCGGTCACTCAGTCTGTCAATCCCTCGGTCCGGCCCCCCCCAGTCTATCCGGCTGCCTTCCGTGCCAGTTCAGGCTCTGGGCGTCTCGGCTTTAAGGCTTTACGCTCTTGATGGCCGGATGTTCTCTGAAGCAAGCTTCCGAAAAGAAAGTGTGGGGGCCAATTGGGCTCTTAGAACGGGCTTTGAAGCATACAAGGTCTGTGCTTGAGTTGATACGACCAATCGCAAATGGCCAAATAGCGTTCTTGACGGCACAACGTTCGCTAAAGCACATTCACAGGGCTTAAGAAAGTGGGGGGGGGCGCAGGCCCCCCCCTCCATTTGCAAACGCAACGCCAAGGGGACTGGCGGTTAATCACATCTTAAACACGCGCCCTCGTTTGACGATGTCGGCTCATCATACATGTTAAACATGCCCCCCTCATTTGGCGATAACGGTTCACCATAAACCTTAAACACGCCGCCTCATGCTCATGTGGCGATTCCGGTTCACCACATAGGACAACGGTTCATCATACATCTTCAATGCCCCCCTCATTTGGCGATTCCGGTTCCACATACATGCTAAACACGCTCGGCGATACCGGCTCACCATATATCTTAAACGTGCCCCCTGATTTGGCGATTCCGGTTCCACATATCTTAAACAAGCCCCCTCATGTGGCGATACTGGCTCATCACACATGTTAAACACGCCCCTCATTTTTCATCACATATCTTGAAGATGCCCTCTGATTTGGCGATGACGGTTCATCATATATCTCAAACATGCCCCCCTCCTTTGGCGATTCCGGTTCCTCATATTTCTGCACATATGCCCTCATTTTGCAATTCCGGCTATGTCTTAAACACGCCCCCTCATTTGGTGATTGCTTCATCATATTTCGCAAACACACCCACCATTTGGCGATTCCGGTTCATCATCGTTCTTAAACACATCCCCTCATTTGGCAGTCCCGGCTATGGTTTAAACACGTCCCCGATTTGGTGATTCCGGTTCATTATATTCATTCGGCGATAACGGTTCATCAACATATCTTAAACATGCCCCCTCATTTGGCGATAACGGTTCATCATACCTCTTAAGCACGCCCCCTCATGTGGCGGTTTCGGTTCACCATATATCTTAAACAGGCCACATTACAACAGTTCCTCACACATGTTAAACACGCCGCCTCATTTGACGATATCGGTTCATCATATATACCTCAAACACGCCCCCTCATTCCGCGATCACAGTTCATCATACATCTTTTACTATCTTCAAGACGCCCCCCTCATTTGGCGATAACGGTGTTCACCATATACAGTATCTTAACCAAGCCCCCTCATGTTCCGGTCCACCACTAATATCTTAAACGCGCCCCCCTCATGTGGCGATTCCGGCTCATCATATCTCAAACACTGGCGGGCCGACTGTCCGACTGACTGCCTGGCGCTCGGCGCATGGACCAACCGACCGACCGCCCGACTAACTGACTGACCGGTGTGCTCGCGTACCGACCGACGGACCGACTGACTGACAATGATATGCGCTCGGCGCACGGCACCGACCGACTGACTGACTGCAAGGCGAACACCAAAAAAATACAAGAAAAAATACCCAAAGAACCCCAACCCCCGGTTGCTGGGCAAAAAAACCCGGCAAATCTCGGCGAGTGATGCTTGAACTACCTGAGCCAGCGGCCTGCTGCTAAGCAAGCAGTCACCTGAGATGTGCCCTCCGGGTACGCAGCAAGCCGATGACATGGCACAGAAAGTCAGACCCAGACGGCTGGCACAACCTCGTAAGGAACTTCCGCTGCTGCCAGCTCCTGGGAAAGGGCTGTACCGGTCGCGGCGGCCAGCCCTCTGCTCTCGATGACATGATTTTGTGGGAGGCCGAGAAAACCCCTACACTGATGCCATCTTCGTGTTGGCATGTTTTTCACATCCATAACAGCATACCAGCTGACAGCCTGCTGTCCTCCATTTCCTCGCCTGCTCGGCCGAAGATCATGGGATCTCCTCCCTTCAGGCGGCACCTCAGACCGCAGCTCAGCTATACGTCGAAAGAACATGGTCTTCTTGTGCGAAACTACGAGCCAGCAATGTGTGAGAAGCCTGGCGAGAAACTGGTCTGCACATGCGCGCTTTGTGTGCGCGCCGGATAGTTGCTCCAATCTCCACCCGCATTCAACCGCAAGATCTCGCACCGGGGACCAAATGTTTTCAATTGATGCTTCACAACGGGTAAAACACAGACTGGCCGAGATGGCCAGACCCGAGTGGTGGCGCATGATCTGCGCTCATGTCATGTAATTCTGTCCATGTTGCGTCTGAAAATGAATCAGATTGCGGCACGCATGCAGCTCCCGCACCCATGACGTTATAACAGCCATTTTGCCCTCTCGCATGGCAGAGAACTATGCTCACAGGCGAGGTTGAAATTGGGGCTCGAATATGCACCGTTTCAATTACACGCAACTTATAACAGCTATAACAGCCATGCATTCGAGGTGCTGGGCTTTGCCTCGTGCCATATCAACGCTTGTACATCGCTGGACGTCTCCAGTAGCCTCCCACCTGGCTGCCTAGCTTTGTTAGATCAGGTTGGCAGCAAAGTGCCTGGTCCATACACGAAAACACGAACGACGACGACATGAGAATGAGGGCCAAAGCACAAAATCAGAAACCAACACGGAAAGCTAAACATTGGAAGTAGGCATTGAGGCAAGACAACATCACTGGTGCAGGGTTTATCGCATGTACTGCAGAATAACACTCTGATTGGCATGTGGTCAGCCATGCCAAGCCGCTTACACTGACTTCCCTTGCTTTGCCAATGCGGCCAGCTGAGACGAGATGCTGTCCTGCGAAGCTTTGACCATCTGATGACACGCATGATCGGAAGGAGGCTACGAATGACGTCATCCTCGCCAGTCCTGGTGCACCTTCATCTCTGCAGTGGGGACGTTGGTTTCCTGCATGTGCTCACTGTTCAGGAAAAGCACGACATCTAGGCCTCTAGGCAAGCAAGAACTCGTTGCAGCACCTTCCCGACATAACGGACTTCCGCCGTCGGCTTTGCGAAACCTATGACCTGCAACCAGCCGTTGATGGCCGAGAACTCTCTTGAACTCAGCAAGGCCAAGCTTGTTTCAGTCCGCGCACGGCCACAGGATGCAACATGTACAGCGATACGGCTGTACGAAATCAACAAAGCTTTGCATGCGTATCACGACGCACGTCGGCATGGCAATACCGGATCGAGAAGCTTGCTAAAGCTACTTCCGGCTCCTTTGCGCAAATGGCTCGCATCCTACTTTGCGGAATTGCCATCATGAGCCGGGAAGTCAGCACAGGAGGGCGTGAAGTCAGTCGAAGTTTCCGATGCTCCATCGCCGCCTGGTGCGAAGTGAGTCCAGCACCAACAAAGTAGAAGCTGTGCGGTCTGTTGCGCCTGCGTCTTCGCCGCTGTAGGCGATCTCTTTCTTGCTCCTCGGAGTCGGTGGCTTGTTTCCGTGTAGCGAATTCAGACCTTCATGAGAGACTCTGAACTTCAGTCAAGCTGCAAGCTACGTGGTGTGCTGCTATCCTGTCGACGTAGGTTGGGGCAGCTCTGGTCTGCAACTATGGATAAGCTGCGGCTTGTATATGCAGGCCAGCAGGCAGCAGCAAGCAAGCAAGCAAACAGGCAAGCAATGGCATGCTGCGCTCCTCACAATACATTGTCGCATCTCGATGCTGGTAGCCCAACATGGGCGACATAATGATGGAGCCCACGACAATCGAAACCATCACTGCCAGCTCGGTGGCATCCGATAACTGTCAAGGGATCAGGAGCTTTCAACTTCTAGCCAGAAGATTCGAGCTTGCAATGTGTATCCACACAACACCAGGGAAGCCTGGACATCATCTCTGAAGAGCAGGAGGATGCCGAAAAATATCCTACGTCAAAAAGAACTTGAGATTCAAAGAGCAGCAACATCAACTCAAGTCTTAAAGCCGAGCAACACAAGAAGGCTGATGCCAATCTTGAGGAGATAGAAGCTTCTCAAGAGCTCCCTTACCACAACGAAGAGCTCTGGCAAGGCGAAGGCTGCCTCAGCCGAGTTCAACTTCTCCATTCACTTTGTCCTGACCACTCTTATCACTTTTTTTTGTTCTCCCTCACATATTTGTTCATGCCGCTCTTACCTTCATTCTGCTTTCATTGTCCTCAATGCTCTACTGGTCTAAACTGTTCTTCTTCTTGAATACTCGGTGATATCTCTGCTGCTACCATTGCCAGGCCCACACCCATTCGTCTGTTCTTGTCATCAAAATCACAAGTATGACTGCCAGTGATGCCAGTGCTCGGGTAATGACCGGATGTCTCCCACTACCATGGCAACCACAATCACATATGGCCGTCCTTCTCACCGTGTGAAGACTACTGATGCTTTGAAATAAAGTTTTGCTTGCCATCACAGCACATGTTCTCGATGTTCAGGTTTCGCCGGTGATTGCGATTCTTGTGGCTGGAAGTGTTGTTCCTGTGCCACCCTTGGCTTTTTGCACAAGGGGCTCGACTGCTGCCCTCCGCTCTTGACTCGTCACGGAATTCTTTTTTGCACACAGTCAGTCCAGAAACATCGGACCTTATCGCTGCCAGACTCAGCGAGCATTCAACAATGGCGGGCAAAAGCCAACGTATTTGTCATCTCAACACCGCGATAGCTAGCAGCTGGCAATGGAAGAGATTCACTGTGCACTGGATTTTGAACCTCTTCCGCCAAACCTTCCCTGGCAGCCGCACTGCACGAAAAACCAAAGGTCCACCACACAACTGCGTAGAGAGCAGAATTGGAGGCAAAAGCGTGAATCCATGCAGCGTGAGAACGGTGTTGGAGGCTTGCTGTTTATTTGCAACCAAGTATTCTTCAAGGCACCCGCAAAAATTCTTCTGCTCGGTTCAGAATCGCTCGCCAGTCGCGATATGGAAAATGACTGATGCGCGGTTTTAAATTTTGATTCTTGGATCACAAAAAGAACAGTGAACGGCAAGTGGCAACGGCAGATGCATCAAAAATGGCTCTAGACGGCAACAACCAAGCTTCTTTCAAGCACTTCAGGACCCCTGAGGAGCGGCTGTGGTCTTTTTAGGACCACAAAAAAAACGGGTGAGAGGACTGAAAAAAAGTCAAAAGAGGGCTGCCGAGGGACTCGTATCAAGGAGGACAAGAGCCTCTTAGTTGCGCAACGCCTTCAACATGCAACGCAATGCAACAGAGGAGCTGGAAAGTGATTGGTTTTCGGAATGCATGATTAAGACGGACAAGCTCACCTCGCAATGCATGGTTTTCGGTTTGCCCCTGTTCCCAGTCAGAGCCCAAGCCCACATGTGCTTCCATGCCTTACAAAGCCGGCCAGCTGCTGCAACCCAATTTTGCTCGGAGCAATCTTTCTGGGGGAAGCCATAAGACTTGCTGGCGGCATCACCATCGCAGAACGAACGATCTAAATCCGCAGGATTGACTTTCCGGGACCGGATACAAAACACGTCGCTCGATGATGTCTGGGGTCCACCCACAAGCATCGAACACGTATGGGAGGAAAGTTCCGAGTTCCATCAGTTCCATCTCGAACATCATGTTTACATCCTGTTTGTCAAGAAAGCATGCTCCCAGTTCTACGGCAAGCATGACGACAGGAATCATTCGTACTCGCACGACACGGACCAGCGGCTCCCGAGTTGAAACACCATCGTGGGTCTGTTTCATAGTCTACTGGGTAAGTAGACTCCACTGATGACATTTGCTTGAACTCAACCACCAGCCCGCTCTCACCAAAACGACGACTGCGCACTAGCAAAGCCCGAGCATCAAAACAGGGATGACAACAGCGCACAAATCTACGGAGCTGGTGTTGTTTCTGTCATGTTCTTCCCACTCACAGCCCGAGGGCCACAAAATGCCCCTGCAGGCCGAGCTGCCAGGACGGACGAAGACCAGGCGATGAAGTGGCTGTCAATCTCCTCTATCTTGGTCAAAGTCACATCCACCTCAGGGCAGGTTGTGATGTTCCCGAGCACATCTCTGCAACAAACTGGCATGCTTGCATAGCCATCCCACTGCGGTGACAAGCGATCCCGTGCCTCCATGGCGAACATTACCAGTAACAAGCAGCACGTCACCGGCCCCATCATGGTGACCTCGGCTCCTTCTGGATTCTTTCACGTGTTTCCGCTAATGAACTTGTTGCGTCAGCGCGGCACAAATGCGACCACTCCTGGCATTCCGAGCACAGCTGAAACCAGATCCGCATGCTGCGATTACAGTCGCGCCAGGCAGCTTGTACACAAAAACGCTGCCGTCCGGTTCGTAGTGGGGCAGCAGTCGATCTCCCATAGCCATCCGGAAGGTCTTGTAAGACTCAGAATTGCCAGCATCGAAACCTGATAGCACTGCAGGAAGCACAAGCATGGCTGCACCAAAGCCCCTCCGATTGATGCATCAATCAAACGCACCTTCGTGGTCATCATCACCTGGGTCAGCACTCTGCATGGTCCCTGGTGTGCTTGGAGGGCCACAGATGCGTGCGATGTGCACGCGGCCAGCAAGAAACGGCAAGGAGAAATCATGAAAGGGTCAACAATTACAGCAACCAGGGTGCGCATGGTTTGAAGACCGACCAGCACCAGCCACGCACCCAGGAGGTATGGCAACACCTTCAAGTCCCGAATCCAGGCCTCACAGCTGAAACGCTTAGCTGCATCATCACGGCAAAACCCGACAAGATCACTGGGCTGCCAACTGCGATGCCCATGAACATGAACCTTGCAAGTTTGTGGCACAGAGCGTCATGCTGAAAGCTCGTGCGAATCCCTCACCGCTTCTCCGACCTGCATGTTGGCCGCGAAAATCCAAGCACACAAGTCACCTCGAACCAAAAGCCAAGTAGCATCTGGAAAAGCATCTGGAAGATGGACACCAGGAAGAGAGCGTAGCGTGCCATCTTCGCAGGAACTTTGAAAGAGACCAAGATCATGTGGTAAAGGAAGATGTTCTCCTGTCGGGTCAAACTGCTTACTGGCTCACCGGCAAACGGCCCGGTACACCGTTGCAGCGAAGCAACCATCGAGAGCACCAGCTCCATCACATAGCCATCAAGCCACTTCTCGCCAGCGCTGGGTCCGGAGGAAGCCGAGGTCCAGGCAAGGAAGCCCAATGCTGCCTTCACATCAGAACCCCCTGTGTGCTTCCGGCTTTTGCTTGGGACAATCCAGAGCACCAGACCAGCACCCAAACCCCCAGGGCTATCACCTGAGCACAACAGGCAAAGCTTGAAATCATTCCTGTCAGCTGTTAACGACGGACGGGTGACGTGAGAGAGGCAGGATTCCAGTGCCAGCTGGTGAATCAACAAACCTGCCACGCGGACAGAAGCAAAGTGGAAGTGACTGCCGCGCTCTGCACACTTGTTGCACCTTGTGTCTCATGGTGCAGCAAAGGAACTGAGACGCAGGAGAAGCAGCCAGACCATGCTAAAGGCCACCCATTGGCCAGCAACGGTCGAAGCGAAAAACGCCTCCACACAAATAAAGCCACCGACAAATAAAGCCACCGACAAAGCTAAATTTCGTCATTCATCTCAGCCAGCCTCAATGTCCATGTGCGGGTGGCTGTGCTTCGCCGAAGGTTTTCGGCTTCGCCCAACCACTTTCCAGAGAGGGGAATGCTTCGAAGGCTCCACAGTTTTCAAGCCGGTGTGGAGTGGAACCACCGGCCAGAATGCCGACGGGGCGCCCACATCATCGCCCAAGTCTCCCACGGGGCTGAGTGAAGGACGGAATGCCTTCGACATGGGAAACAGCAGAGAAGCAGCAGCATGCTCTGTGATGGGTGCCTCTATGCGATCTGCTTGTGACTTGTCCTGGCCGAGGAAAGCAGAAGTCCCAGCTGTCTGTCTTCTCGGCGCTGCTGCCTGAAGGATGAAGTGAGGTCTCCGCGACAGCTGAACTACTATATCATCTATATCTATTCAAGTTGTCAACCAGCTGCCTTGGCAGGTGTTGACAGGACAGCGAAGGCAAACAGTACGGGCAAGGACCTGTGCAGCTTCGTTTGGGATTGCTTCGCATGGAGCCTCTGCGTTGGGCTGGCCCACAATGTGTCGGACATTCCCAAACGTGCAAACATGTCGATATGCCTCTCCGCCATGACCCGCTTGCAATGCATCTCGCATCTCTCATCGAAATTGCCTGCCTTTGGTTACAACGTTTAGATCGCAGCCTCTGGCTGGCAGTCAACATTCACCGGGGCGAAATTGATCCCTGCGTCCTGCTGGCAGAAAATGGACAGCGCTGCATGTTGCTCCGAGGAGATCGTGCCTCTGCAGCCAGTGGGCGAACGGCCGCGAGCACTTTGGAGTTCTAGTATCGGATGAGGTTGCATGAACTGGAGCCAAATCCCTGCGCCCATCGCTCCTTCTAGACTCATAGCCGTCATAGCCGGAAGATATCAGAAATCATGCAACACGATGCCCGGGAGCTTTGTACAGAATCGCAGTTTCAGCTGCGCCTCCTGAGCTAACCGATCGTACAGAATCACGTCGCAAGATTGCAACACCTGGCAGTTCGCAACAGCAAAGGCTACGAGGCTCAACGAGTGTCGGCCTCCAGTGCTCGCAGCGTCAGCAGCTTTGCTGATCCAGGACCAGCTCCAACTAGATACACCTGCCCGCGCAGCCCCTGACATGTTGAATGCCTTGGAACAAGCAATGTTGCCGAGCAGGTCTCAGGAATTGACGCAGCCGGGATGGACTGCACCTCCCAAAAAGCAAGAGACATTGATGAATTTGGCCAGTGTTCCGATAGGCCCTGCAGCTGAATCATCCGACCTTCTGTAAGCGGCCCAGCCGGTCCAGCTTCCATGGAACCACTACGAACAGCTGGTGCTGGGATTTGGATACTGGGGTTGCGGCAGTTCACAGCTGTATGGCATCGAGGCTGCTAGCTGGACAGAGTGCTGCATGCATGCGGCGTGCATGCAGAATGCGCTGAATGCACCAGCAGAGATAGACTCGGGAGATCTTGAGAGATGCACGCCGCTATTTGCACACAGATTCTACGGACTCCCCATTATGTGCTGGCCAACCTCTCGGTTGGAGGAATTTTTGCGGTCACTTCGGGCAGCTTCGCGTGCGATGCGGGAAAACCTACTCCACTTCACCACCACAGGCAATCCACACTCGGTGCCAAGGGCCTGCAAAGCTGAGTGCACTGCAGCCTCTCTGAAGACTTCTCGCTGGGGGAATACCCTTTGATGATTTGACGTGCCTGGTTGGCGAACTCTCGCCAGGTTTCGGACTAGCTTCAAGGCATCGGCTGCCTGTTCCAGGGGCACTCTCTGCTTGGCTCGATCGTCGTCTCTGCTTCCTGGAAACCTACCGGAGATGTCGTCGGCACCCAGAAGACTTGTCGATTCCAGCGTTAAGTCTCTTTTGCTTGATCTCGGCTCGGCTGGTCATGCGGACTCAATACCAACATGCGCGCCATGCGAGAGAGCTTCAGTTCGTGATCGTGCACCTGCCCCGTCTCCACTGCGACGCGACAAGCAGCCACGGTCAATGCTGCTGGCTGCAGTCCACCTTTCGACAAGGAGATGCCAGGACGGGACCTGACACCACCCCTATCAGCAAAATCTGCTGCCTGGGCCGCGCAGATCATGTAAGAGATCAACTTCTCGTTGAAGCCTCTGTCAAGTAAGTGCAGTATCTGCTTCCAAGTTGTGGTGTCAGTTGCTGGATCTTTGGAACTGCACATGCCCGGAGCACTGCCAACATCACCACGGGGGACTGGCCTATACATGCCGAGGCTTGGACGAAGCGGACTCGTTGGTGTGGTCGTGCTCCTCGCGCTGGATGACATAGCAGTAACACATTCATGGCAACGAGCTCGCAGTAGTGCAGACGCTGTCCAAGCAGGAGATCAGCCGACCAAGACCGATGGCCTAGGCAACATAACCAAACCATGCAAATCTTGGGACCCGAGGAACATACAGTAGCATTGCAAGGCATGCGAGACGAACTACCGAAGGTCCCTGCGTTGGTCTCTAGACTTCGAGCCTGGCAGAAGCAGTCAATCACCCTGCCGATCCATTCAGCTTGCTAGAGCTGCTACTCGCTTCAACAGCCAACCTTCATTTGAGCTAAATACTCCCAGGCCAGCAGATAGTCCTGGGACGAATTGAAGCCGCCCAGCTACGTGGCAGGGCCTGAGGTTGCGACCGGCATCTGGGCGAGCCTGTCATGATGCTACAACGATTTGGAGTAAACGCTCGAAACGAGAAGGCTAGGACGGCTGGGAACAGCGCGCAGCCAAAACGGCTGTTTCGCTTGCCGCACTCTCCATGCAGCCTGTTGACTCTGAATTCTCACGACTTACACGATGGAGACAGTCACAGTGCCTGGAGTTCCTTGGTGCGCTCTCCACAGCCTCATTCGCAATCGCAGCGTAAGACTGAAACCCCACAGAGAGATGTTATCCCCAGGAATGTGACGACCCCTTTGCACAGTAGATAGAACCTTTTCACACAGGACATTGCCAGAAGTCGTGGTGCAAACAGGGCGTTCGTGACTGCTGACTGTCCTTGTGCAGCTGCAGGCCGACGATACTCCGTCTAGAAAGTGCGAGCTCAATAGCCACTTCGCCGCTCTACCAAGAAAAAGCCACAAGGCTACAATATTGTGCGAAATGCACAAGACATTTTCGAAACGACGGTTTGCAAGGACATTTCCCAGACATGTCTTGCTGGCATAGCATGACTCTTCGCAGCAACTGAGCTTCCATGTGCAGAGCACATCAGTGTGACCCATCCTCTTCAAGCATCCTTTCAGGACTTCCCAGCGAGATTGGGGATTGCCACCGTGCACAAGTTCAACTGACAGCGTTCTGCAAAAATGCGCGTGGATCCGTGTTGGCATCCCCTCGAGATCTCGAGCTGGGTGATAATGTTCGTGTTCGTAGGACCAACAAACTCAGCAAACAAGTCAAGGAAATTCTAACACACGTAAGCTCAATGAGCGACTTCGTCGCCATGCACAAGGTCACAGGCCTACTGAACGAAATTTAAGAGGTGTTGCCGACATGTCGGCTAAGCATCTAGCCTACGCTCCGTTCCTCCTGGAACATCACCAAGTGAGCTTCCATGTGAAGAAGAGCACATTAATGGGACCCATCGTCTGCAAGCATCCTTTCAGGACTTACAAACGACATTGGGGATTGCCACCACGAACAAGTTCAACCGACAGTGCTCTGCAAAAATGCGTGTGGATCCGTGCTGGGAATCCCCTCGGGATCTCGACCTGGGTGAATGGGTTTCTCCAGACTCGTCCTTGTTTGCTTCTCTTCGTGACACATCAAATGCTGAGACTCTATGTGCATGAGGACATGCTAGAGAAACCGACAACGAAGAAAATCAACCTCTTCGTCATCACAGCTCAATGCCCGATAAGCGTTAACTGAGCTTCCATGTGAAGAAGAGCACATTAATGGGACCCATCCTCTGCAAGCATCCTTTCAGGACTTCCCAACGACATTGGAGATTGCCACCACGCATGAGTTCAACTGACAGTGCTTTGCAAAAATGCGTGTGGATCCGTGCTGGGAATCCCTCGGGATCTCGACCTGGGTGAATGGGTTTCTCCAGACTCGTCTTTGTTTGCTTCTCTTCGTGACACATCAAATGCGGAGCCTCCATTTGCATGGGGACATGCTAGAGAAACCGACAACGAAGAAAAAACCTTCTTCGCCATCACAGCTCAATGCCTGATAAGCGTTAGCTTCTCTGCCATCCTGTCCACGGTACTTCCTGTGATCCACACATGGTTCGGCCATGCTACAGGAGTTGGCGAACGAGAAAAAGCACAAGGACAGGACTGAATGCCAACATGAGCGGCGCAGCTCTTGGATGTCAACTTGCATTTGCCCTTGGTGGCCGGACTTGCTGGCTCAGTTTTCTCCACACACACACAGCACTACTCGGCATCCGAGGCGCCACTGCTCCGCATCAGAGTCACCAGATCTATGGATTGCGCCGTGCCTTTTAGTCTTTTCGCTCCAGCAAGGAACTCTTGATAAGAGATTTGCCCATCACCGTCATCCAACAGCCTGAGAGAGATGCAATGAAAGCCTGGACAGGACAGCCCCGCACACCGTCCGCCCCATAAATGCTCATTCCGAGGAGCTTGAAAAGGTTTTCCGCATCCGAGGATTGCAGGTCCAAGGCCGCCATCCAGATTTTGAACCGCGGATCCTTCAGAGCCTCTTTGAACTCCCCTTCGTCCAACGCGCCACTGCCATCAGAATCCAGCTCACGAAACAACATTCCGACCTGCAGACTGAAGAAACTTCTCTGCAACTTTGCAGGCCCACTCCAACACCTACTCGTACTCCTGGCTACGCTACGCCTACGCCGACTCCTATTGTTGCTCCGTCATTTGCTACTGCTACGTCTCTCCTCCTGCTGCTGCTCCTGCTGCTTCTGCTCCTGCCGCTGCTGCTCCTGCCGCGCCTGCTACTACCACCACAACAACAACAACAACAACCACAACCACAACCACCACCACCACCACCACCACCACCACCACCACCACAACCACAACCACAACCACAACCACAACCACAACCACAACCACAACCACCACCACGACGACGACGACGCCAACACGAC